CCCCTGCACCTTCCAAACCAAGCCACCCACCCCCGTCCCAGCTTCCAAGTTTGCATGAAAAATTTGCACCTGGCGCGAAACTCCCCCCCCCATCCACGAATGACAACTTTGCAGATGATGCAGCAGATCCCGGTTACCTTTGGTGACGGGCTTTCGGGCGACGGGCTCGCCCGCCTTTGTCCTGTCCCCCGGTAGCCGGCGGATTCGGCTGGAAGAACGGGGCACCTCCGCGAAAGGGGAAGCATAAAACACCTAAGGCGGCCCCCTCTCAGCCTCTATTTATTATTCGACTGGAGGAAAGGGGGGGGGAAGGTGCATCAAATACCCCGCCCAAACGGCGCATGGCGGAGTGCACGAAGGTGATCTGTCCCCAAACCTCTACCCTTTGAAGAGAGGGAAGCTGCCCCCATTCAATACACACCCAGAGAAAGGTATTCTCTACATACCGGCTCCCCAGTGCGCGCGCTCACAGCGCCCGCCCGCGGTGTCTTATGGGAGTCGTAGTTCTTCTGCCTTCGCTGTCCCTCTTCCACTGGCGCCGGAGTCGCTCCTCAGGCTTCTAGTCACGATCACGAAGCAGCTCGCACTAAGCTTCTTGGAAGAACTACGCGCCTTTTTGTATGTGTGTCAGCAAACGCTGCGGGCCCTGGGCCAGCCCTCTCTGCAATTGCTCCGGGGAATTCCCCAGAAGCTTTTCAAAAGAGGGGGAAAAAGTACTGTATCTTAATTGCACTTTTTGCTTATCATGATCGTCTGTCAGCTTGGATGTACAGGTGTTAATTAACTTAACAAAGCTAGGGTGATTGTAGTATCGCCGTTCGTTAAGGCAAATGAGGGAGCGCTTACGTTGAGTCGCCTCTCGCTTGGGTTTTTGCATTCATGGTGGTTGGGTGTCACAAGCATGTCACGAGACTCCCTTTTGTTATCCGGAATTAAGTTTACAAAGGGTTTAATCAGTTATGTGCCCCACCCAAGGATGCCCACACAGGTGAGAAATTCTCCCCTGAAGAAATGAATTATTATGTTAACATTAAATAGGTGTCTTCTTAGGCGCCATTCACAGAGTTTGAAGGACGCATCTGCATAAGCCTTATATCTCTTAAAAAGTACTTCCAACGTTTGCAAAATCACGTGTGGCGTTCCCCCCGCCAGCACCATTGCCTAATACTGTATGGTACTTCTCTTTTTCCTTCTTTACAAAAGGTAAACAAGTTGACAAATGAAGTACTAATACAGTATAGTGTGCCAGATTCACAGCATTACAAGTTTATAAGCAATGATAGAAAGGTTGGGTAGGGGGAAAATGTACAAAGTCAAATGCCATGTCAGAGGTTGCAGGTACCGTTTTTAGTGACAAAGCACCTCTTGCTGCCTGAGAAGCAAAGAAATAAGAATGGCATAAAAGTAATAAAACTTTCCCCTGCAATGGTGATGCTGTGATAGGGAAAACCCTGTATTATTTCTGCCAGCATAGGTGTGATAGAGGTACAGATATTTTGGAAGTCAAGCTCTAGTCCAACTGGCTGTTTAAGATCCTTTCATAAAACTTATTTATTTCAATTTAACGACGAAACGAAAACAAAATTTGGAGTAGAATAATCCACATAAATTTATGCTGTAACCTAATGTGTTTCTGTTACCCAGACTTAGTTCTAGGATATGAACTAAAATTACATCAAACCACACAGAATGCAATCGTATTGGATTGCCACAGTTGTGCCCTGCCACAGTTAAAAGGAGTGCATCAGCTGTCCCTGGGCCTGGAGAGATCTGTTTTGGCCACAGTGACGCCTGCCTTAATTACAACTTGTCTGGATTACTGTAACATGTTGCATGGAAGGTTACAGTAACACGCTCTGCTTTTGAAAGTGTTCAGAAAAATCAGAGTCCAAAATGCTGCAGCCGGGTTGTTAACTGGAGCTGGTTGCAGGGATCACGGAATTCCCACATTACAGCAGTTCCACTGGCTGCCGTCCTGTTTCTAGGCATGATTCAAACTGCTGGTTTTGACCTATACAACCCTAGATGACTTAGATTTCAGTTATCTGACAAACAGCATCTTTTTTCTGTAATTGGCTCTTTAAAAGGTGGTTCTTAAAAATGGGGTAGCTGTGTGTTTTCGAAAAATGTATTTTTAGAATACTTCTTAACTGGTTTTGTTCACCAATATAATATAATATTATTTATATTAAATACTTTAAAATTTGCAATATTGTAACCTGCTTTGTGTTGTTTTGAGGAGAAAGGTGAGTGTAGATATTTGGCAGACAGACAGATAGAAAGTAAGTACCATGGACCTCTGTTTATCCTATATTTTCCTCTTACCTGCTGCACAGACAAGCAGAAAACTTGCTACAGTCACTTGTCAAGGCCCATGTGGCTTGCCATAAGGAATTACTTGCTAAATGGCTACATCTGTTTTAAATAAAAGTCCTGACTTTCTAACATACAGATCTGAAGAAATCACTTGGCGCCACAAGCCACATCATCATCTCTTTTATGTGTGTCGCTATGAAGGTCTGAAACAAAACCTGTGAGCTTGAGTAACGACAGAATTATAACTCTATTTTTTAATATATAACTCTATTTTTCTGACTTCTCTGATCCCAGATTCTCTTAGGCATTTTTTCCAACCCTATTCCAGCCATGCAATTTAATAATTTATTTTTCAGTTATGAGGAGAAACTTGAAATGTAATCCACCCTGAATATCTCTCAGTGTAACTGGTGTGTATTCCTGAAAACGTGATAACTTTTCAGAAGGGTAGAGGGGTGTTCATTTGTGTTCCTGCTGGGACAAAACTAACAAAGTACTGTATGTGGATCCATTTCAATTTGCATCTGAAGAGCTGGGCTTCTGCCAAATAACACTTGGGAACAAATGATGCCAAATAAAATCTGTCAGTCTTTCAGATGGTGTTACCCCCACCCCCAATGTTTACTACAACTCACAGAATCCCACAGTGAATAAACCTTTTCTGTCTTCAGAGAGAGTTCCCTGAATAAGTTATTAAGAAGACAAGTTATCATGTACCTGTATAGCCACTATGTTATGTGACAAGGCTAAACAATTGCAAGCAGAAATGTTGGGTGTTTTGCACAGGCTTATCAAGGATTCCTAAGATGGTCAAAGCAAAACCTCTTTTAGTGAATGATGCAGTAAATGGTCCCAGAATTCAATACTTTGTAAAAACAGTCCATAAGAGACAGGAATTTAGACTCAGATGTGCAAGGAAGGGACACTAGCCCAAACCCTGTTAGCTCAGTTCAGTAAAATGCACTGGAGGAGACCCATTGAATCAATGGGGATTTGTGAGTCAACTCCTCCCCTAGTTCTATTGATTCAGATGGACAGTTTACTATCATAGAGGCATAATCCAGAGCTGCAATCAGCTTTTATGATTTGAGAATATAAGATTGTACCTGCGTTCTCCTACACATGCTTTGTTGCTGTTAAAAAAGAGCAGGGAGAACGAGGGAGATGGCAATGCAGAAACCATACCTGATAAAGCACTGTGTGCTTGGGATATAGATGCACATTTAAGGGTATTTGGTCTTAAATGCATAATTTAGAGCATCTTGAAGGAAGTTGATATGCAGCAATACAGGAGCCTGCATGTTGGGAATCTCTTTATGGGGCAGAGTGGCTGCAGAGACTGTCAGGATAAGAACGTGAACATCCAAATTTACAGAGTGGTGTGTTTTCAGTGAGGGGTATGTTCATTCTGTAAACTCCTCCTCACTCTCCAGCTACTGAGAAAGGAAAAAAGTTAAGAAGAAGTAACTAATGGGATTTTGCAGAGTGATGTGGAGAGGATGGGAGAGATGTAGCAAGTTGAAAGCAAATACGATGCTGCTCTTTCTGAGGAGTATTGATAGGTGCTCCTGTTGATACAGACTAGTATACTTGTATTTCATGAGAAGGGCTTAGAAAAATGAATAGAATGGGATTAACTATCATAGACATTATACATATTCAAAGCAGGCATTCTGGTTTAATTCCTTACCTGCCTCATGCGATAGGAGGTTAGAGAGATAAAATCTATGGGGAAATGTGACTTTAAACTTAAATCAAACTACTGTACATCAGCCAACAATAAAAGAACTATCTTTATTTCTAATGTGACTTTTCACTATTTCACAGCAGCTTACATAAGTATCAAACTGAAGGACATAATTGTAAAACACACATATAACAAGTGGTGCTAAGTACTGTATAGTAGTATTTTTTTGTGGATTGTAGCATTTATTTCTCTAAAAAATTCCTTCTAGTGAACAAGAGTAACATCTGAACTCATTCAGATAATGTAATAATATTTCTTGTTTCTGGAACATCAAATGTTATTTCCACTAAAACTGGAGTCATGTATTCCTTCTTTTTTCACTTATAAAACAGAATGCAAGCAGTCCTCTCTTCTATGAGAGAAGTGATGCATTCACAGGTAAAAGGAATGTGGCCAAAGTCATATAATTGATCACTCACAAATCTGTGATGATGTCACCAGTCTTCCAACAGATTTGCACTTGTTGCTATAAAGACCATTGTGCTCCCTTTTAGCAGGAGCTACCTGAAAACATTTTGCTGGCTGAGGTGAAGAACACGTTGGTCCCTCCTCTCTTTCACCATCAGAAGTTGACTGGCCTGGCCTCTGCATCTATTCTCAACACTGGTGATATTGCGAATGGCAGCAGGGCACTAGTGGAGGGGGTGAAAATAACTCTGTCCACCAGTGAAAGGGAATGGCCACTCTTCATGCCACGCCACAAAGCATCCTCTGCCTGAGATGACTGCCTTACTCTGTTTGAGGGTAAAGCTTGCTAGGTGGGAGAAACTTCCAGTTGGACCAAAGCTCCAATAACAGGCTTCAAATGTCCTACAGTAGTTGAGACAAAAGCATAATGTGCTCCATCTTTTTACAGAAAAAAAACACACAGGAAGAGGACTGGTGTTGTCTATCTGTGGACCCAAAACCTGCCTAGTTGAAATCCAGTGGAATGTCACCCCCACAACTCATTAAAAAGATACTTTTACATTTATCTGGGTGGGTTTTAGTGGTGGGGTTTTCTTTCTTTCTTTTTTTTCATTTTATATTCATACCTTGTAAGCCACCCAGAGTTGTGGCTTCCCATGAGATAAGTGGTGTCAAAATTTAATAACTACCTACTGTAACTAACTAACTAATTCACTCACATTTAAAATTGTATTATAATAATTTCTATTCTAAAAGGCTTTTTTATTTGTTAAGAAACCCCCCAGTTAATTTAGTTGATACCTTTTTGAGTGGTCTCTTCTTATTTCTTTCTCTTTGCCAATTAACTAATCTCAGTTGAGATGTGCAGTAAAGGCAAGAATAAAACATGAAAAAGATGTGGCAATTCATCTTCAATTCGTTCTGCATATGCCTCATATGGACAAAAGAAGCTACTGTTTCTGAACATCAATCACATAACCCAACTCTCTTCCCCTAATGTTAAATAAATGATTCACCAACCACCAGTGACTATAAAAATTATCCACACCAACCACCAGTGACTATAAAAATTATTTATTTTTAGTTTCCCTTTGGAATGTTCCTAGTTACTCCTTAGGCACAGATTTGATATAACGGATTGCTTCAGCAGGGATGCTAAAGATGGTAATGCTGATGGAGGATTTACTAAAACATCACAGAACTTTTCATCAGGTAAGCAAAACAAAGATGTGGGTGGGGCATGGTAAAATGGCCTCAGAGTTTGTATTTCATACATCTTTAGATGGAATGCAGGAGATGTGATTAGCTTAAAAACAAAGATGTGGGTGGGGCAGTGGGGATGGAATGCAGGAGATGTGATTAGCTTAATTTTGCACCATCAAACTGATTCTCATTTATGCTAACAGAAATGACAAGGGCACAGATGTGGTTTACCTTTCTCTTGACTACACAGGATGGCAGTTTGCTCTTGACTACACAGGATGGCACCTCTCTGGAGTTATGGTCCAAACACCTTTTGAAAAAGCTCTGATGAGCTCTGGAGCGCAGAGAATCACAGGGAAAAGGAGAAATAAGCAAAAATTCTCTCTCCCCTTCTTTAGCTGGTAGGAACATCTCGTGACCATGACTGGCCAAGACATCCAGTGGTTTCTAATCTGTATCTTTGGGGAATAGAATACTGTATAATGTTTCCTTTAGCTTTAAAAAAAAATTTCTATATATTCTAACCCTCTCCTTTGTTTTACTCTTCATCCAGAGATTTCTGGATTTATGAAAAACAAGTTCTTCATAAAAGTGTAGAGTGTGGTAGAATAATTCTAGTAGGAAGATGGGCTAGTTGTCACTTCCCAAATAATACTGCATTGCCCTAAAGCCATGAAAGTAGCGGTCTGATATCTGACCTTATCTTTAGCATAGTCAGTCACAATTAAGAGTAAATCTGTTTGAGTCAATGGAAATTACACAGGAGTGGGCATACTTTTGTATGATTTACTGCACTAAGCAAGAGAATCCTAGCCACTGAATGCTAATTTCATTGGGTGTCTGTAAGAAGTACTTGAAGGGTAGAATTCTTACATTTTATTTATAGTGCATGGAGATAAAAGTGGTAATGTTTAAAAGTGGTATTTGTTGGCTTTGTGATTCAATATCCTCAGTTAGTTTCACTCTGTTTTGCTGTTTTCCAGTTTTTATTGTTGTGTGATATCATAAAACTAATTACTATATACACACATATGTTTTTTAAAAATGATATTAATAATTGTGATTTATTACCATTTTTCAAAACCTGAGTTCATGGAGCCTATGATTGCTACTTAATGTTTCACAGTTTTTTTTTGCCCAGCAAATAAAAATGTTAAGTCCAAGACCATTTCCATGTGTATGGCGCTAGCACATTATTAACACTACAAAATATAAGCTGTGTTGATGACCAGTAATACTACACAAAAGCCAGACAGATAAGACAGACAGATGGGGGAAGGTAAGGCTGGCCATGTTACATACTTACAGGACTTTTACAATCAAATTTTGTCTAGGTTCACAGCACATTTCCTTTTCTAGACAATATATGGTTTTTGGAAATCTGGATGCCCAGATATAGTTGGTCAGGGAGTCAAATCATCATTGTTACCCACCCGTGAGAACAAATGTCAAGTGGCCCTTCTGTTCTCTTGCCTTGATGGATGGGATGAATGGAAAAGGACAAAAAGAAAAAAAAGGGGGGTTAATGGGAATGTATGGTGGGAATGTGAAATGCATGTAACATGGGCATCCTTCATTGCCTTTTGCAATAACTCTAGAAAATACCTGGGCATCTGATGCAGTTGGCACCATCAGAGGACAATGGCAGTGATCAAGAAGGCCATTTAAGGGCAGAAAGTGCTCTGCATGCACAGGAGAGACCACAGAACAGCAGTAAAACTGGAGCCTGTAAAATGTACATTTTGACTGCATGTCCCATAATCCCCTAGGCATAATGCTCAGAGAATTCTGGGAGCTCTAATCTACAATGTAATTTTTCCATGTTCTGGTTTTGTGCAGCATATACTGCCTTGCACTGTGCAATAAAGGGCAAAAAGTCATTGAGCAAAGGAGTCTTCAGTATTCACTGTACTACAGTGTGTGCCATGCAGACATTTCCTTTCAGAGTATGGAACTCAACTGAGTGACTAGCATTCACTCTTCTCTCTAGCTCAGTGGTTTAGGTATCTGGCTGCAGTACCCAAGGTTGGGAGTTCGATTCCCCACTGTGCCTCCTGTGAACAGAGCCAACCCATGTGGCCTTGGGCAAGCTGCACAATCCTAGGGCACCCCCAGAAGAAGGGAATGGTAAACCACTTCTAGTTATTCTCTATCTCGAAAACCATGGAAAGGGTTGTCGTAAATCAGAATTTACTTAATGGCACATAATACATACATACTTCCAAACACCTTTACATTAATTATTTCCACACCCAGTTTACTGACAAATATTATTGTTTAACAAGTTGCACAGGCCGAGACTAAGAAAAACAGTGATTTTGCAGATCTATAAATATTATAGCACTAGTAGTAGCTTTGGTCAACTGTCCTGGTTAGGTCTGTTTTCCAAACAGGGAGGTTTGAAGAAAACAAAAAACAAATATACATTATAGCTGTACATTTTCAGGCTCCATGTTCAGTCAGGGTTGGTTGGTGTTGACAATTTCCCCTTATAGTTCATTGAGATAATCCTGGTCAGCATATATGAGAAAGCCAGTGAAAAGGCTATCTGTCCAGTAGGGATCATAAAAGAGTCCGTTCTGTTCAGAGTAGAATATCTGCAACCAGACTTCGTCATTCTGTTTCAATGAAAGGATGGTGGATCCAGAAGCAACGTCATGGTTCCCCGTGTTGGCATCAAATGTTTTTATCCTGTATTGGCCGTTGTGCACAAGTCCGATAGCCAAGTGTTTATTGGCCAATGTGATATCATAGGTGAAGTAGTAGATGCCAGGGATGCTGCATATGAACTTTCCACTAGAGGTGTTGTAATTTCCACCTTCATTCATAAGGACCCTGTCAAATTTGATGGGCAGCCTTTCTCTTGGGTAGCTTTTGGTCACAGCAACAGAGAAAGCAGACCTGGCTTTCTTAGCCCTGCAGTTGCAAGGGCCTGGCATCCCGAGATCTCCTTGTGCTCCTTTGGGGCCTTTCTTTCCTTGTCCACCGCTTTTCCCAGGGTTTCCCTTTGGACCCTTTGGGCCCCGGGGCCCAGCTTTGCCAATGGCCCCTGCTTTTCCTTTTGGTCCTTGTTTGCCTGCATTTCCTGTTTTGCCTTGTGGACCTAAGAGACAAACATACTCCAGTGAGGGTTGAAACAAGCAACAAGAATGGATAAGAACTTTAGGGTGCTTTTGGAGTCACAGCACATGCAGCTGGAAAGCCTTTTAACAGAGATTAGCAGATTGCATTTTTTTCCAACCAGAACTCTTAGAAATCTAGCAATGTAGCTCCCTGGGGAATACTGGGAGGTGTAGTTCACTCTCCCCAAATCCACATGCCCCAGGGAAACTATTTTGCAGGTGATTCTGAGGGCAAAAGCTGAGAATGAGCTGAGGTTAACAAGAGACATTAAAAGCAACAAAAACATTCTTCAGGAATGTGTGTAGCAAAGTGAAAGAAAAGTAACAATGGCTGAGCTACTCAATGGAGATGGAAAAATGATAACAGAAGACAAAGAAAAGACAAGAGGTGCTCAATTCCTATTTTAGCTCAGTTTTTTCCCAAAGGACAGATTATGACCTTCCAGACAAATGTGAAGTGCAAGTGGAGAGGACAGGAGTGCAGCTGGAGATTGATAAACACACAGTCCAGGAATACCTTATTACCTTGAGTGAGTTCAAATCTCAAGGGCTGGATGAACTACATCCAATAATATTGAAGGAATTGGCTGAAGAACTCTCAGGCTATTATTTTCTTGAAGTCATGGGAAATGGGTGAAGTGCTAGATGACTAGAGGAGGGTTAATGTTGTCCCTATCTTCCAAAAGGGCTAAAGGGAGGAATCTGGGAACTACAGGCCTGTCAGCTTGACATCAATCCCAGGGAAAATTCTGGAACAGATTATAAAGCAGAGTTTCCTTAAGAGTGTTCTTGCTGGTGGAAAGGGGACAGGAGGCTGTTTTCATCCATCTACCTTCCTTCTTCAGCCCCTAGACTACCTCCTAACCTTCCAGAGGACATATGGGATCACACTTAAAAGGAAGTGGCATCTTACCTTCCTCTCCCTTCTCTCCTTTCTCCCCATCTTTTCCATCTTGTCCATCCTTTCCTGGGAAGCCCATCCTTCCAATATTTCCAGGGGCCCCTGGAGGTCCAGGGGCACCAGGAGGACCTTGTGGTCCTGGCACACTGCATATGAGTTGCCTGGAACCTTCTGCTTTTAGAAAGCTGCTGAGAAGCTGGTTGGCTATGCAAGGCACAACCCAGGCAAAGAGAACAAGGAAGATCATTGTGGTATCTGTAAGAAATAAAAGAGAGGCAGATATTGCAACATGTTTGGCAGAAGGCATTTACAAATGACAATAACTTAGAGAAGATGTGCTGGAATTCAACTGGAGGAGCAGCTGTGGCCCCCCCAGCTGTTTATGGCCTACAACAACCTGCCATCACAGTCTATGGTGAGGAGTCATGAACGCTGAAGTCCAAAGCCAGCTGAAAGGTGAAACTACCTAACCCCTGATTTAAATCCATCCTCAGTTAAAGTCCAAACGACTTCTCATTTAACATATCATATAGATAAATTATGGAGCACCTAGGTGCCGTAATCCTCTGACATCTCTCCGGATGATTTTCAGCAAAGAGAAATCCTAGCCTCTCTCCCAACTCTTTCCTAACAGTGGCAAAATAACTTCTTCTGCCTTCAACTGTAGTGCTGAAGTGAAGAAAGCTTGAGGTAATCAGGAATGGTTTTTTATGCAGAAGGACTGTGATACAGTTCTTGTGCTCATTTAAAGGGCCCATTTTTACAGCAGGCTTTGGCTAGTGGATTAGTTCTAGAGCAGTGGTTCTTAACGTGGGCGATAAAGCCCCCCCAAGGGGCGATTTCATTTTTCAGGGGAGCGGTAGAATGAAAAGGGGCGCCATGGGGGCAAAGGAACAGAAGGGGGGGGTTCTAGAGGTTTGAATGAAAAAAAACAATAGAAATGTTTAAAAATGACCTCTTTGGACTATAATTCCCAGAATCCTTCAGCCAACACTAAATGCTAAAGCATGGTTCCCAACCTTGGGTCCCCAGACGTTATTGGACTAAAACTTCCAGAAGCCTTCCCCATTAGCTGGCCAGGATTTTTGGGAGTTGTAGTCCAAGAACATCTGAAAACCCAAGTCTGGGAACCACCCGTCCCTGGATACCCTAGACAACATGGCTGGTAGAAGGCTTATGTCAATTAATATGGGTCACCAACGTGCACCAATCTATATAGCAACAGCAAATGAAATGGCCCTGGTCAAAACACAAAGTTAGGACATGGATGTTCAGTTTTTTGTCAGTTCTCTTCCTTTACATCCAAATTCCTGAACATTTCATTCTTTTTCTTGTGATGCCACCCACTGATGACCCATTTCAAATTTCTCCTTGGTGATGCAGTTTTATTTTTTTTTTACATGTTTCCTTTCTCTTTTGCTTTTTATCTTTCCTTACCAGTTTCATCATTCTGAAAGATAACTCATGAGAGAAAAGAACTGCTACCATTTTTTGGATATAATGCTTTTATCTTTGAAAGAAAAATGGATGTGAGTATTGTCCTTTGCTCAAAACTGTGGGTTCAAGTTACCTGAGTGGGGAAATAAGAGCTTAAAAATAGAATCATAACCTTCTAAGCACATCCTTAGATTTTAGAGATAACTAACTGAAGAACTAGCCATGTGTATGTCTTATGGGGAGGGGTGGGGTACAGATAAAACACACACTGGATCTCTGGCTATGCCTGGATCATCTTATCCCCAATTACTTGCTGCAGAAATATGTTACAAATTATTTTTATTAAGTATCTCAGCCACTGAGATATATATATAAACATGTCAGGGCAACAGAATGACTCTGCAAACCAGATGTTTCCAAGCTATTATTCCCCCATTCCCTCTTGTTATTTAATATTGAACTACAGTATTCCTGGTGAAAGGTTATACACATTGTGCCAGTTCCCTTAACAAGTTCTTATCGATTAGAAATCTTGTGTGTGTACAGAACTAGACACAAAAGATAGGTGAACTCAAATAAATCCCATGTATATTTTGCTAGCGAAAACAGAGGTAAAAGAAAGCTGAAGCAGAGGGCACATCCATGATTCTCTAATCAGACAAGGCCTTCCAAAATTCAGTCTGGTAAGGAGGGAAGAAAGTGAAGAATACCTCTGAATATGTACGAAATATTTCCTTCTCATTGCCAAGTAATGATAGCCAGTGAAAATTAATCTACGATTGTGTCAAGCTTTCCATAGCACATGGTGTAATGTCCAAAAAGATGCCTTTCATACCAATCTGGCAAGGAGCCCTTTCCTTTCCCACAAATATCCTAGTCTGCTCAATCTTGAGGTGTTTTTGTTTTGTTTTGCCAAAGGTTCATCCTTTCAGCACAGCTCTAGGTAAAAAGTTAAACAAAGGGCACCTAGAGGTTTCCTTCCTTCAAACTTCCCTCATCTGCCAAGACCCAACATTTAACACTGTAAAATGATGGAAGAGCACAAGAGATAGCTTTGCAACGATGCAGTTTTGCCCATGGGGAATGCCAAATTTCAGAGAATAAGTGGAGTTCATTGCTTAGGAGCTGAGACAAAACATCCAGAGTTCTTGGTGAGAAGTTGCTTGGAAAAGCCACATTGAATGCAAATTGATATAATGAGATCAAAAAATGCCAGCCTTCAGGTATGGTGGCACTGAAGAGGATGTGCCTTTACCTGTCTACAGTAACAGGAGCTTCACTTCAGATAAACATCGGTATCGGGGCTTTAGCATGGGGCACATTGGTTCACACATTTCAGCCCAGGATTTTTTTTTAAAAAAATGTACAGCCACAGTGTACTTAATAGTATCTAAGGACCCAAGGTGGCTTACATGATTAAAGGACAATATTTAGAGCTAAATATGAGTATACGTACAAAGGTGGCTTAACGTTGTTAAAATATAGCAAGATAAAAACAGTATGTGTACAAATATTAAAAATGAACAAAGAAAGACCACTTTGAGAAATGGTAAATGCACAGAAAGGGAGAGGCAGCCCTTGAGAGAGCTTGGAACCAGGTCATTTAGGGCTTTATAGGTTACTTCGAACCAGCCCTTTGACGTGCCTGGAAACAGATCGGCAGCCAGTGGAGCTGCTGTAACCGGGGGTGGTGGTGGTGTTATATAATCCCTGTAAGCAGCCCCAGTCAGCAATCTGGCTGCTGTATTTTGAACCCACTGAAGTTTCCTGACACTTTCCGCAGGCAGCCCCATATACAGCATGTTATAATAATCCAGCTGGGATGCAACGAAGGCAATGTGCCAGTATGGCCAGATAAGGATACAGGAGCTGCAGTAGTTTTTAATTGTGCAAAGGCACTCCTGGCCATTGCTGAAACCTGGGCATCCAAGCTCAAAGATGAAACTAGGAGCACCCCCAAGCTGTGCACTTGTGTTTTCAGAGGGAGTGTAACCCCATCCAGCATCGGCTGCATCCCTATTCCTCATTCTGCCTTTTGACTGGCCAGGAACGCCTCAGACTTATCTGGATTAAGTTCCAGTTTATTCATCCTCACCCAGTCCATTACTGACATCAGGCACTGATCTAGAACCGAAATCAATTCCTTAGATTCAGATGGCAAGGAGAGACAAGAGTTAGGTATCATCTGCATACTGTGACACAGGATCCAAAAACTCTGGAAACGTCTCCCAGTGGTTTCATGTAGATGTTAATTTAACACGTGTTCTTGGCTTGCAGCTCCCAGAAGCCTTCACCACTAACTGTGCTGGCTGTGCTTTCTGAGAGTTGCAATATAAGAACACCTACCTGGGTTACCCATGGTTGGGAGCCACTGGTCTAACTGGACTGGAGCCAGCATAGCTAGGCTAGGGTGAAAAGAGCAGCTGCAAGGTGGTGAGCACAGCAGAAGCTGGTGGGGGGGGAGATTTATTTTTTGTTTCCTTGGCACCCTCTGATGAAACACACTTTTCCTATCATCTCCACTTCATGTTGTTGCCGGGAAAAGAAGAGGAAGAAGTAACAAGCTGCGAAAAGGAGCAAAGACGTGCAAACTTATGCCTCAGTGGTGGAAAGAGGTACGTACTGCACTGCTCTGCTTCAAGTGTCTCTTGTTTGGTGACACTTGGCTTGCAAGCTGGTCCTCCTTTGCCCCTTGGGCTGTCGCCTATTTCACAACGTCCAGGGAGACATGTTAAATAAATGGTTTTCAGTATCAATGAGAATGCTTATTGCTTGAGGTAAACACATTTTCAAAATGTCTCTGTATCCTTCTATGAGAAGAACCAGAATATTGCTAACTCATAACTGTCCAGATAGGTGGGATATAAAATAAATAAATAAATAACTTTTGCTCCAAAATCAGAGATTTTTAAGACTGCCTGAGGCACAGACAGAGTCAAATACAGTCACATTTTCAAAAGAGGTGGAGAGCACTTCTATACGATGTCTCAAACACATTGCCAAATACAGGGAACAATATGGGGAGTGGGAAGGAATCATACTGGAAGGAGATAAGGTGTTTTTGATTTTTTTTAAATCCACTGGATGGAGTCCATGTCCTATGCTGAGGACATGACTTAGGTGGTCTGTGTAGCATTCTAGATGGCTGGAAATCAGTAAGAGATGAAACACAAGAATTTCATTCAGGAATTTTAAATCAACCACCTCTGACATAAATAATGGCTTCCAGAAAGGCCCTTGTACTAATATATAACTCTGTGGATAATTATGCAAATAGGCCATCCTGTGCGGGAGCAGGATTTAGAGGTAAGTCCTGTAGGAGTTTTAAAGTTTACATCCTCTCTACAGCCTTTATTGGATTCCAGCAATCTCACTGATGGGGACAGAAGAAGTAACAGGTAATCTGAATAGGATGAATTAGCAGAAAACAACAGAGCCCATCAGTGAGCCACCCCAAAGAACTCGATCCAAAGTTAACCATTCAGGCTCTGTTGTTTACCACATCAATAGCAGACCTGCACAGCTCTAGTGATTTTAGGCCTCCTTTTCCAGAGCTTTCCTCACACAGCTCGTCTGAATAGCAACCCACCCAGAGCTCCCTTTGCTTCCAGACTGGTCATAAGGGTCTCCTTGCGCCACCAGTCCTCAAAGACCTGTTCCCATTCCTGTAGGCTTCCCTGTTCTTTCTCTCTGCCCCTCTTGCTTTTCTCAAGGGAAACCAGCCCTCCTCCCTCAGTCAGAGACACAGGGTCGGGCAAGGGTGTTTAGGAAATGCAGCTGCAGAACTGCACACATCCGTCAGTATAGATAGATCAGTGGCGCTGAAGCAGTGGTAGGTCTGCCGCTGGTGGGACAAAGGGGTTGCGTAACAGTCAATAAGAATTCATTGTGTCACGGCTGCTTTAAAGACTAACAGATTTATTTCAGTGTGAATTTCCATGGGTTACAGTCCACTTTCTAACCTACAAAAGCTCACACTGATATAAATCAGTCTTAAAATTTCCGCAAGACTTTGGTTGTTTTGTTATACCTGCTGTAACAAAGCAACCTCTTTGAATACATTATAGGCAATCCCTCAATCCTGTATCTCCTGCAAGTATGCTGTGCTGCCTCCTGCTGACCTGATTCATCTGTGACACTCAGTGTTTCTCCTAAACCTGCTTCCTTTGACAGCTTTTTTGATTCTTTTGGCAGAGTGACTGGTGGGGTATGAGATACCAAAGATTCAGGTTTTAAATAACCCTGGAAGCTTCTTGAGAATTATGTAAATACTAAAAACTAAAAATGAACACGGCTGAATAGCTCAGTGGTTCAGGTACCTGGTTATGGACCCAGAGATTAGGAGCTCCATTCCCCACTGTGCCTCCCAGGAGAAGAGCCAGCCTGTGTGGCCTTGAGCAAACTGCACAGTCCCAACACTCCCCCCCCCAAGTACTGAGTCCTCTCTACCTGGAAAATCCTGAAATGGTCACCATAAGTCAGAACTGACTTGACAGCACACAATTATTGCTTGTTTTCTATGTTGTAGTTTGGTACAGTGGTGCCTCGATTTACGAACGTCCCTACTTACGACTGTTGATGGGTCTTGGGGGATTTGTTTGTTTTTTGGTTCCCCTCATTTCTGATGGGTCTTGGGGGGTTTGGTTGTTTTTTGGGTTCCCCCCATTTCTGCTGGGTCTTGCATGCTTCCCTTGCTTTTTGCTTTGCTTTCTTTGAATTTCCAAGTTGCCCTCTTTGTTTTCTCTGTATTTCTGACCTGCTCCCTTTGTTTTCTTTGCATTTCCGATCTGCTCCCTTTGTTCTCTGTGCATTTCTGATCTGCTCTGTTTTCTGTGCATTTCCGATGGGTCGCACGCTTGATTGCTTTTCTCTCCGCCCCCCTTCGGCCAGAAGGGCTCTGTTTTCTGTGCATTTCCAATGGGTCGCACGCTTGATTGCTTTCCTCTCCGGCCCCCTTCGGCCAGAAGGGATTGTTACAAACAGCTATGATGTCACCTGTCCTTCAAGGTTTAGGCTGGAGTGTTAACATCCAATGGTGGTCGGAAGGCGGGACATCAGGGGGAGGAGCTGGGATATATAGGGGTGTGTATGTGTGTGAGGGTCAGATCAGGATCTGTGGGTGTTGAGATGAGATAGTGATCAGATTGTGTGGAGATATGAGTCTGTGTGAGCTAGAACCTTTATTTAAGTGATTACCTGATTTATTTGTTATACCAATCTTAATGTACCAATCAATAAACTTTAGTTATTTTGTTTGAAATCCATTCCGGCCTGAAGATACTTATTGCAGGGGATGGATGGTGGCAGACTACCAGAAGAGTAACAGTGGAGTGACGTAGCGACCTTCCTTTGTGAGGTAGAAGGAGGCCGTAGAAGGGATTAATCACATTTCCAATGAGTCTTGAAGTGATTTTTTTGTGATTTTTTTTCTTCAGCTGGAATGGATTAATTGCATTTGAATGCATTTCAATGGGAAATGGTGCTCGACTTACAACCATTTCGAGTTACGACCATCTTCCAGAACCAATTAAGTTCATAAGTCAAGGCACCACTGTATTTGACCCTTTCCAGTATTTGTATATTTACTGTTTTTAGCTTTAAATAATTGTCTTTCCCAAATACATTATATGTATTTGCAAAATGTAGAGGCCCTAAACCAAGACAAGAATCTCTTTTTTTGTTTGAGAATCAGGGCGATTTTCGCATAACCCTTAGCAGAGAAAACTCACAGGCCTCAGAAAAACTAGCTCAGGCAAATAGAGGAACATTCACACATCAGACGGAAGGTCCCTGTCACACTTTTGCTTGGCCCATCATCCTTTTGACCTGGTAGATGGCCTGGTCCTGGAATGCAGGCAGGAGGAAACCAGCCATGACAGGCCAAAACATTCACACCAGGGAGCTGGAGAGTAAAGGCCATATATCAGGACCCAGGAAGGCTACACATAAACATACCAAAAGATAAGATTCTTTCCCCAGACATTCAGGCGCATCTTGGGCATAGCCCAAGGACACATAATCTGCATATCTATAGGGAACCAATAGATCAGCGTAGTTGGCATCACTACCCAATGAGGGACTGGATCCAAACTTGGGGTACAAATAACCAATAGAATCGTAGTATTTTAGGACTTTGTATCATTATAAAAGATATGTACACTGTATTTTCGGGGTCTTCTCTGCTTTTAAGGGAAGTCCCAGCTGATCTTTTCTTTGCTGCTATTCAAATGAAATTGGGCCTTTGGTTCAGCTGCAGCATCTATGCCTGATTCCTTGCCAGAGAATCTTAGAACCCAGGTTTGGCTGGTAACTGTGGGGAAGATGGATGTATTATGAGTTTTGATTTGAGTTTATCTTTTGTTGTCAGCTATTTTTCTTTTGGTTTTCAGTCTTTTTGTTATATTATTGTTTATGACTAAAATAAAAAATAAATATTGTAAGTTGCTTTGGGCTCCTTTTAAGTGGAAAGCTGGGGTAAAATATGTTAAATAAATAAAGTTTACAAATCTTTACAAATAGTGTACTTAGGAAGGACTCCCTATAACCCAAAGACCCTGTCCAAACCAGTTTGCGCAGATGATCCAATGGTTCAAAGGACAGATATAAAAATGCTGTACTTGATTCTTCCCATATTTTACAACCAGTACACAATTAATTATCTGTTGCACTTTTTAAATTACATTTTGTATATTTTAACCATATATGTTTTATGAACTAGCTGTTCTCTTTTGAAACCGCATTTTGTATATTTTAACCACACAATATGTTTTATGAACTGGTTGTACATTTTAAACTGCATTTTGTATATTTTAGCCACATGTGTTATGAATTGCTTTATGAGCTGGTCACCCAACCATAACAAAGAAATTCTATTCTAGTCTGTTAAATAAATAAAATTTATTAATTAGTCACTGGTTTTAGTGGAGCTGGCTAGATAGCTGAGTGATCTGAGAATCTACATGTTTTATGAGCTGGTCACCCGACCATAACAAAGAAATTCTATTCTATTCTGTTAAATAAATAAATTAATTAGTCACTGGTTTTAATGGAGCTGGCTAGATAGCTGAGTGAACTGAGAATCTACAGAGGTCAGGAATTCATTTCCCCACCTGTGCCTTGGGCAAGCTACTGTTTATTGTTTATGGCTTATTGCTTTATATTGTTTTTATTTTTCTTATCTTGGTATATGTATATGTTTTCTTTATATTGTCTAGAAGCCGCCTAGAGTGGTTGCAATGACCAGATAGGCGGGGTATTAAACAAACAAACAAACAAACAAACCTCCTGCTCTGGCAGGTAAGGCGAGCAGGCAGGGGCCTTAAGAGATTCCTGAGTTCATCCTGTCAAATAAGGTAAGATATATTTGAAAATCTTGCCAAAAAGGAGGTTGTGTTTTAGGTTGCGTCATGGTGATAAAAACAAACGTCTAACAAATGTTAATTTTTTTCCTGTTTTGTGTGTGTGTTTGTGTGTGTTCCATGAATGATTTTACTTACACTCATAAGAATAATAATAAATACTGCTGCCACACCACCAGCGCCACCACTATTACTACTATTATGACAAATACTGTAATAATTGCCAGTAGCTGCTTCTTTAGTTCCTGAAATTAAAAAAAAAACTAATTCTGCAAACATGTCACCTGCCCCCCAAAATTTCCGACTTGTCTCCTAATGTTTTTGGTTGACCCTTCAGTCTGCCTTCACAACAGCATAAATACTGCTGCCACACCACCAGCGCCACCACTATTACTACTATTATGACAAATACTGTAATAATTGCCAGTAGCTGCTTCTTTAGTTCCTGAAATTAAAAAAAAAACTAATTCTGCAAACATGTCACCTGCCCCCCAAAATTTCCGACTTGTCTCCTAATGTTTTTGGTTGACCCTTCAGTCTGCCTTCACAACAGCAATACTGATAAACAAGATGTATAATCATCATCATCATCATCAATATAAACAAAACAGATTGAATCACCACAACAAATTCAGTTGTCCTTTTTAATTTGAAGCTCAAGCCTAAAACATAATTGTCTCCTAGTTTATGTGGCAGTTTGGTGGTGACAGCCAGTTCCGATGGAAAATTTATGCAGATATCCTAAAATGATGGATTGTGTTAAGTGTCCTACTGAAAGCCTGGCTTCGGTTAAAAGCTCAGTATATTAAAAAGAACAGTCCTTGAGTTGTTAATGCTTGCTTATGATCCTTCAGTTTAAAAAGGACGTCATGGTCTGATAACGTTTCAGCAAGAAACAAGAGTGAAAGCGTGGCCTCTTCCTTCTTTCCTCAGTTTTAAACTTTGGAGCTCAGCAGCAGAACATCCTCAGGCAGGGAGCCTGCAAAAGTGGGGCGCCGGGCGCTCTCTCTTCCTATGCAATAGAAAACATTCGCCTCGGCTATCTGGGCTAGTTCCTCACAGGAACGCAACGGGAGACATTCCGAGTTAGTTCACAAGTACTGTAGCCGTCCTGTTAGTTCCAGACAGACTTCCGAGAATTAACCCTTTCAAGGCTGCGTTCCTACGCATGACAATTTAGGAAGAGGAGACATGCAGTTAAAGGGGGGGACTCGCTTCCAAGGAAACATGGCTGCAAGCTGCAGTTAGAGCCCATTTAAATAAGCTTTGCTTTTCTTTTAAATCAAGTGCTACTCACGAGCGCAAAGAAGATTCTGGCACCCGGGAAGGGATCTGCGGGGTCTTAAATGGATGTTCCCCCGTGGTACATTATGCTGCAGCTTTGTGGGATCGTTTATTCTTCGTTTCAGAGGACTTCCTTTCAATAAAGGGCTTGAAATTTCCCGTTCCCCAGGGTCTTCCCCGAATTTGGTAAGAACGAGTGCCTTTCGCCCGCATTCCCTCTTTCTTGCAGCCGCTTCAGCTCTTCTTGGCTGCCTTGTGCCTGAGGCATATTTGGATTATGGTGTAATGCGCCCGAGCTGCTGCCTCGCGTCACGTGAGATCGAGAAGAAAACGGAGCACATGTGGCGGAAATGGGCCAACAACCCTCCCCCCCCGCGCTCTTTTGCTGCTCAAATAGCTTTTTTAAAAAAATAAGGAACCAGGAGTTGCCCCTTCTCCGTCTCCCGCGTGTGGGCGATCAAAGCTGGCATGAGGCTTTCAGGAATAGAGAGGACCAATAGATCACCTGTTAAGTCAGATGAGTCCCACAAAAGCAAGGTTTCTCAGTCTCCTGGCACTTCTGCCAAATGGCGGGCTGGGTGGGACAGAGTTTACTTACTGTCCTACCTGTAAATAAATGATACATTTTAAAAGTGTTGTTGCACTCACCTGTGAAAGACCTACAATGGACTCAGTATAAATCAAGGTTTCTTAGGCCATCATCAACTGTAAAATGTTGTGATGTATCTGCAGGAATTCCAAGCTGTACTTCCTGACTAACAAACCAGTGCCACCTCACAAGTTCCATTGGTGATTAGAGATACCCATCAATATGTGGTATCTGCTCATTATCTACTGTTGTTGTTTAGTCGTGTCAGACTCTTCCATGGACCAGAGTACGCCAGTCTTCCACTGCCTCCTGTAGAATTAATTTTGCCAACAATCATTGTCACTGTTTACAGAACAATGCTTCCTGGGAGGGGCACTGCGAATCAAGAGGGTCGAAAGGGTCATTGCCAGGTGTGAAATGCCACAGTATCAACGACTTGTGCCCAGGAAACAGTCTCTCTATAAATGTATGAATGTTTGCCAGGTAGTCCACTCTTATATCTGAAGAAGTGGGCTTGCCCACAAAGCTCTCATTAAAATACAGCAGTCTTTTTAAGGTGCCACAGCACGTTTGTCTTCTTTTTCGTTTGGTGTTGCATGATTTCTAGGTTGTGCCATTGTTTCTTGTACAAATTTTCCTTCACAAGTTGCCCCTTTATTACCTGCTCTTTTGTGAACACTGAGCGAACATGTTGAGTTTACTTGTGCAATCCAGAGCCTTGACTGAAACTACTGTTGTCTTCTCTCATTCCTACTTCATGCATGATGACTTCTCTCATTCAGGTGCTCCCTCTGACCCTAGCTTTCTTTGCTTTCTCATCTATAAGCTATACATTAACATACTGGTTCCCAAACGTGGGTAAGCCAGGTGTTCTTGGACTGCAACTCCCAGAAGCCTTAACCGCCAGCTGTGCTGCCCAGGGTTTCTGGGAGCTGCAGTCCAAGAACACCTCAGCTGCCAAGGTTGGGGACCACTACATTAGCAGAGGTGCTCTGTCTCTCTCAAGTGGCCCATGCCCAAATAAGGGCACACAGGTCAGGGCCTAACCCATCCTGTACCCTTTCTGACATACTCCAATCCAATCCTTATCTGTGTCCATGCCGGTATCTGTGCTTTTCCAGATCTCTATTAATATCCCAGTTCTTGCAAATACGTAGAGACATGACTATGACTAGAGATGGACTGGGAGCAAAACAGCACCATATTATTTCTGGCAGAGCTAATTGTCCACCTCCAGCCCAGAGAGCACAAGAAGACAATAAGCCAGAGGCACTTATTAGCAACTTTGGCAGTGATATCACCACTAGAGAAACCAAAGGAAACATCCTAGCATCCTAAAGTAAGGTTCTGACCTAACCATAAGAATGCAGGCTTTCATTTGCATGCAGACACCCAAGCAGTCTTAGTAGTGTAGCTAAGCGTGTGTTTTTTTTGGAGAAACCAAAGGAAACATCCTAGCATCCTAAAGTAAGGTTCTGACCTAACCATAAGAATGCAGGCTTTCATTTGCATGCAGACACCCAAGCAGTCTTAGTAGTGTAGCTAAGCGTGTGTTTTTTTTGGTTTTTTGGATCCCCTCACTTTCCCGCTAAAATTATCATTCTTTGCTGGTGTCAGCTCAGATCCCTTTTTTATATTACTGTATAGTGATGCTCTTGATTTTGTTCCTCTCACTTTTAATTGGTGTCTAATATTTTTAACCTAACAAATAGTGTATTTGACTTGAAGGCTCTCCTGGGGAGGGGGTTGCTTTGTTCTATAAGTGCCCAAGGGGCATTTTGTTGTTTTCTGTGGTTGCTGCCAAATATTCTTTATTTGCTGCTCTGGTATTCAGCCAAGTATGGTGGGCATCCCTCCTAAAGGGACAACATCAGGACTATATTTGTTAGCTACTTGAATACTGGGTACAAGTTGTACTGGCACTTGCTGGGACTGTTGGGGTAAGCTTCCTGGAGATAATGCATTATAAAGTAACTCTAGTAACAAAAGTAGTGAGAAAAAAAAAAAAAAAAAAAAAAAAAAAAAAAAAAAAAAAAAAAAAAAAAAAAAAAAAAAAAAAAAAAAAAAAAAAAAAAAAAAAAAAAAAAAAAAAAAAAAAAAAAAAAAAAAAAAAAAAAAAAAAAAAAAAAAAAAAAAAAAAAAAAAAAAAAAAAAAAAAAAAAAAAAAAAAAAAAAAAAAAAAAAAAAAAAAAAAAAAAAAAAAAAAAAAAAAAAAAAAAAAAAAAAAAAAAAAAAAAAAAAAAAAAAAAAAAAAAAAAAAAAAAAAAAAAAAAAAAAAAAAAAAAAAAAAAAAAAAAAAAAAAAAAAAAAAAAAAAAAAAAAAAAAAAAAAAAAAAAAAAAAAAAAAAAAAAAAAAAAAAAAAAAAAAAAAAAAAAAAAAAAAAAAAAAAAAAAAAAAAAAAAAAAAAAAAAAAAAAAAAAAAAAAAAAAAAAAAAAAAAAAAAAAAAAAAAAAAAAAAAAAAAAAAAAAAAAAAAAAAAAAAAAAAAAAAAAAAAAAAAAAAAAAAAAAAAAAAAAAAAAAAAAAAAAAAAAAAAAAAAAAAAAAAAAAAAAAAAAAAAAAAAAAAAAAAAAAAAAAAAAAAAAAAAAAAAAAAAAAAAAAAAAAAAAAAAAAAAAAAAAAAAAAAAAAAAAAAAAAAAAAAAAAAAAAAAAAAAAAAAAAAAAAAAAAAAAAAAAAAAAAAAAAAAAAAAAAATCATCTTGCCATGTATCTTTGGACTTCTTCACACCAATACAATCCTGATGAAATGGTGTTTAATCCATGAAGCTTGTTCATTGTGTGATAAGTTTTTACTGGTCTATAAAGATATTGCCTATTTTTGCATTATTGTTTTTCACTAGCTGTGGTCCTTTGCTTGGGTTCCAATGATTGGATGAAATCCTGTTACACAGCTCCATGAGTACTGGCACTATCATCACCAGCAAATTGCCACTGAATAAAAGCTTCCTTTGGAGACACTGGGGCACATGTTGCATTGTGCAGGAGTCCTGTGCATCCCAAAATCATGATTAATCAGTGGCAATTTGCTACTTATTACATCATCCCTAGCACATGGACTTGCACAACAGAATTTCAGCCATTGTATTGGAACTGTCTGATACTATTCTTGAAGCAACACACTGTACACCTCCTACATTTCCTGATATTTTTCCTCCTTTGGGCCTATTCTCCACCTCCTCTATGCTCATATGTGTACACATATTTTCTGCTGAGGGCATAATTTCACTCCTTTGATGCAAGGAGCTGTCATTCATGAGATCTATGACAGATCCATTAATCTTTGGAGGCCACAGACTATATCATTTTTGTTGAATGTAGCATAATTGTAATTCTGAGCATTTCCCAAACTCTCAGAAGTTTATAATTAGAAGGCAATTTGGGGAGTGCTACAATAATTTCTACAGGACATAAGACTGCTACTGCAGTTTGAGGAGTACAAGCACCCTGCAGGTGTATAATCCATGAGAACCCAAAATAACAAAGAAATGAAAAACTACAACTGTTGTAAGAAGTCACAGGCATGACAAAAGAAGGTGTACAACCTCTATTAAGTGCCTAGGAAATCCAGTTCATCCACATGGAGTAGTCCAGTTCAGAGCTATCACTCAAAATTGAGCACAATTAAACTTCTATGTTGCATATAGAGCTCTGCATGTGAAGGGGAGAGAAAATGGGGAACTGACTTGCTTAGGCATCACCACAGACATGCCATTCTGTGTGTAGGTGAGGGAAGAGGTATAGGGAAAGGATGGATCATTCCCAATTGATTCGCTGAAAGATTATAAAAATTTTTTACAAAGTACCTAACCTCATTAAAACAGAACTCTTTGAACTTCCCAAGGTATTTGGAATACATACTAAATTCATTTCTAATGAGAAGAAGTCAACAGCTGAGTATATATCCAGAAAAATGCTTTCAGAACCATTTTTTTTAAAGCTTCTGAATAAAAATATCAGTTTTCCTACACAGCAACTCTAAAGCTTCAAAATATAGCCAAAGAGCCCAAAAAAACCCACAACAACCATTAGATCCCAACTGTGAAAGCCTTTGCAAATACTTTTGGATTAAATCCACAAAAATCTATATAAAGAAGTAGGCTATCACACACTTTGGTAGAGTAAAGTAGCCGACAAGTATCCTAGTATCTAAGTATGGAGTAGAAGGATAGTTAGTGTATGTAACCCCCACTTCTAGCAGGGTCCTGTTGAGTGCCTCTTCTTTCCTTGACACTGAGATGGGTTGCACAACCGGTCAACTGCTGGAATAGGACATGCTCTGCTACTACCCTTCTCTCCCAGCCTGCCTCTTTTACTCTTTTTCTTTTTTAAACATCTGATGCTCTTGACTGGTGGCTTTTTTTGTTTTTTTAATCTTAAATCTATCAGATGTTTGAGCAGCAGGTACAGCATAGTCAATTAATATGGCCAACAAAAAGATATATACAAAAAACCCCACTCGGTATAAAACTCTACATCTTTTTCAGGCCAGACACACACACATCCAGAAAGGGAATTGGCAGAGGTCTGCCCATTTGGTCACCAAACGTAACAGCAGCCACATCCTGTGGGCTAGCAAGTCTCTTTTCCCAAAATTACTGCCCCAGAAAAGAGGCCATTGGGTCATCTGGTCGCTGCCGCTTCATCCGATAAGCCTCCATTTCTTCCTCTGTCGGTTCCCGGCTTTCATACATGCTGTTGTATGGCCTCTTTCTCTCATCCAGCTGCATGATTTCCTTCACGTGAAGGAGGCGGGCTTCTTCTGCATTGAGTGCCTAAAGTGAAAGCACAATCCCAAGTCAGGTTACAAGAGTGCTCTGGCTTTACCTAAGCTAGTAGTAATCAGTCAGAAAGTACCAGGTTAGAGACTAGATATTCAATGAATGGCAGGCAGGGAAGAAAATGGAAAGGGGAGAGGGGGTTGTCATTAGCATTCAAAAGGTCAAGCTGCCTAGTGTGGGCTGGGTTTGGTACAAGGGATATCCATCACTGAGCAATAGTCTCCATGACCTCATAAGCACAACCAGAAGTCATTGTAAACAGAAGTCAAATATCCCCTTTCTGTCCCTGAGAGTTACATGAGCCATTAGAATGACTTCAAGCTTTAACTTGTACTTTTTCTGTTTCTCTGCTTGTGTTGCCTTTTTGTCACCCCTCCAGTCCAGCTGCAGCCACAGCCTATAACACAAATGAACGCAGAGATTTTTGCACACAGCTATGTGAATACAGCCTACTGTTGTGTGTGAGGATCTAACTTTTGGCCCCAGTTTGTATCAGGCATTAAAATAGAACAGGATCTCTCAGATCCATTTCTAAAGCCAAGGTACTATGAGAACAAAACAACAGTGCTTATGTTGTGACTGCCAGAGCACTTTGGCAAGAAAAGCTACAATTCTCTGCTCAAGATCCAGTGAAGATCTACTGGAGGAAGGGTGATGGAAGGTAATAACTCCATGTAGGTCTTGGCTGGTAGTGAGAGAAAATATCATGCGTCTCAGGTGCCCTATCCTATCTTGGAACTTTGAGCCAGGCTTAACCAATATAATCCCATGAGGGAAATCTGAGAATCACTGGCTGAAATCTAGAGGTAAGCTGCAAATAGAGTAGGGCCATTTAATTTAAATGAACTTACATAGATGTTGAGTCAACCAATCCTCACTGATTTAATTGGCCTAGACCAGTTGCAACCTACTACTGGTTCCCAGTCACTGTTATACGAGACAGGTGGTTATTTCAAGCATACCTTTTTCAATTTTTCCTGCTTCTTTTTGTCTTCTCCCTCACTATCAGAACTTGTACTCTTCTTATGTTTCTTCTTCTTCTTCTTTTCCTCTTTTTGCTTTTCTTGATGTAACTGTTGAGTGAGAGTAAGAGCCATAGTATTAAAACAGTATGCTGCAAAGGTTTGTGTGAAGATGTCTGCCCCAAGCTGCAGAAAAAATTATGTGTACAGATGCAGTGGTGTGCACATGAAGGATCCATGTGTCCAGAGGTTTCTTCTTTTCCTATCAAGGTGGGGAAAGCTGCACAAACATACGGCTATCACAGGCACATGGCCCTCTTCACCACAGCTGCATCTCAGGCTAGCTCAAAGTGCTGTAGGGGTACGTCCCATGGGCAGATGCAACAGAAATGAAGAAAGCAAGGAAGCTCGCAGAATGGACTGTTATTTAGGATATAGTATTTGTGACCACTGAGAAAAGAAATGTTGCAAAATCTACATGTGTGGGGCTGTGAAGGAGTCTGTGAGGGAGGGAATAGTCACTGGGGCAGCAGAACACTCACAGGTGGGTGGCCTTCTCCTTTGCAAGGCTAGGCAAAGCATATAAATGGTACTTTGATCAGCAAAACTATATTTTATATTCAGCAATAATCTCTCTCCTGCTCCCTCAACATATGCTAAGAAGTTTTTACAGAAAGGAAAAGAGATAAGAAGAAAAAACAGTTTACCTCCAGCAAAGTTTTGGGTTTTGTTAGATACTCTTCCTTGTGCAGGTCATCTGGCAATTCTTCATCAGCATTCTGTATACAGAAGGCAAAGGTCAAAGAAATTAACTGTCAGAAGCAGTGACAAACATAGGTTCAGGGGGAAAAAAATACAACCAGACATCTATAGTTCTGGAAGGTAAGCTAGTTTCTTACAGCAATTTCTTTCCCAGCTTCTCCTGTGCAGTACGAGTACTTGACAAATGAGTAGCAGCATTTGTAGCCCCATTTGCCTTCTTTCCAGTAGGAACCCCAAATACACTGTAAGAGGAGAAAGACAACTGTTAATCGGCTTATCACAATGACTTGCTTTTATCTAAAAAAAGAAATCCAATCTCTTCAGAATTTGTAAAATCACTAGAGACAAACTTTCAGTATAGAATAAGTGAAGAGAAATATCATCATTTCTCTGATATGAAGAGACATTATTATAAAAAAATATCAATTCTTGAACTTAAACAAAAAGCAATTACTCCAGAATTTGGAACATGGCCTAATAAAAATCTCAGTAACGCATGAAAATATCGAAAATGTCTTTCACGCCCTTCCCCCCCAATGTTTTTAAAAACATATGAAAAAGACAAATATTAACAAAGAAAACACAAATATGTGTTCCTTTTAGTCCCGTTAATTTATCTCAATGAATTATTTAAGCGAGTGCTCAATTCTGCTTCTGAAATAAGTAAGAAACAGAAATGCATCATTTGGTCGGAGTACGGCCTTAATGAATTTACAATACCATTGTTTATGGTAATTCTTACACACCAGTACAACAACATTTCACTATCATATTTGGAGTACGCCCTTAATGAATTTACAATACCATTGTTTATGGCAATTCTTACACACCAGTACAACATTTCACTATCATATTTACAGAAACTGTTTTATTATTTGTTTCAACATTCTAAATCCATTTCTCCCACATGAACAGGTTAAAACCACTGCAATTAGTTAAACCACCGCTTCTTATTATCACTTGTTCAAAATTATGGACATTTTCTCTGCAGGCTCTCAGGTCTACCAATGTGAGTTTACCACTATTTACAGTTTTTCCTCCCAGAAGATTTTTAAAGCAGAAATGATTAGCAGTAAAGACCCAATAAAAGAAGAGTCAATTATCTTCTCAAAACGAAAACTAAGGAAGATGCACCTAGACTCCCTTTGGCTCTCAGACCTGACAAATGTGAATGGGATTAAATCCCAATGAAGTCTGTGGAAAAGGTCAGTCATGATCAGTACTGTCATGTTCATTTCTAAGGAAATTAGGTCAGAAATCATTATTCACCCTAAATGGGATTAAATCCCAATGAAGTCTGTGGAAAAGGTCAGTCATGATCAGTACTGTCATGTTCATTTCTAAGGAAATTAGGTCAGAAATCATTATTCACCTATTATTCACAGATGCCTATATGGTATAAGATGACCATGGTGACAAACTTAATCTTCGACTTTCATTTTCACAATGTACACAATTTGAGTTGATTCAGTGACTGACTACAGTCATTCTATCAGCTTTCTCTCTTCCCTGCCATGAAAATGGTGCAGCCAGTTTCTATTTCTCAGACTAATCTAATTTTAGCACTACTGGGGAATGGGTGGTAAAAGCCAAAGCATATCACCTGCTTTCTAGTGAGTTTTTAGAAGAATTAAATCATAGAAATAAATAATATCAAATTAAAAGCCAAAGCATATCACCTGCTTTCTACTGAGTTTTTAGAAGAATTAAATAATATCAAACAGCAGTGGCTACTTGAACATAAGACTCCTGATTGAAAAGTAGTAAGTGCAATCAATGTACCCCAACAGTCTTATTTAGCAACATTTCTTATATTAGATGCTAACCGTGTGATTGTTGATCATTACATCTTCCTCATATTTAGAGCGAGCAACAGCCTTCTCTTGCCCTTTAATAACGGTTCCATGTCGGGAATATTCAACATAATCTTCTGTTTGAGCAAGCAGCAACTCTGGTGGTGGCGCATCCAGATGTTCTTGTCCTCCATACTGCAAAGTATAACAGTTTAGCAAAGGATTATCTAAAATATTTTAAAAATTAATAATACAGTATTGTAAAAGAACTGACCAGGGCTGTTGAGGATCCATCCAGATGTTCTTGTCCTCCATACTGCAAAGTATAACAGTTTAGCAAAGGATTATCTAAACTATTTTAAAAATTAATAATACTGTAAAAGAGCTGACCAGGGCTGTTGAGGACAGAATATTTTGGAGACTGCTCATTCACAGGGTTATGAGGAGTCGGAAGTGACTTTATGGCATGCAACAATAACAGCAACAGCAACAATAACAATAAGGATTTTACAAACCACTATAATGGTCATATTTTGGAGACTGCTCATTCACAGGGTTACCAGGAGTCAGAAGTGACTTTACGGCATGCAACAATAACAGTAGCAGCAGCAGCAACAATAACAATAAGGATTTTACAAACCACTATAATGGACATATTATTTGGCTTTCTCTCTTTCTGTACTCCTTTTAAGCATCATACTCCACATGCTTTATATTGATTTCCCTGTTCATATTTCTAATTTGTTAGTTCATGGATGTTTCTACTATCTATTTAGTTTTTCTGGGAACTATAATAACATTTTTCTTTTCTTAAAACAAGATTATTCCCAAGATGATTGATTGGTTGATTTTTTTCAAATTTATTTTTTACCTTTTCTAAGATGCTTTCTTTCTGCTGCTCTTTAAAGTCTTCCTTTTTCACTTTGAAGGATTTGTACAAGAGTTCAAGTTTTGTAGGGTCTGCCTGGAGATGAACTTCAGAGCCTTTTTCATAGGCCTCCCAGGCAAATACTTGAGAAATTAAAAAGAAGAAAGGAAAAAGGAAAAAGAAATCAATTCTTCCACAATACATACAAATATCAAGCTATTTATCAGATCTTATAATGGGACTTCCAAGAGTAAAGGCACAAAAGTGAAGAAAGGCAAGGCAAAGAGGTAGTGTTTCTCCCCCCCTCACTTTCTTTCAATCTTTCACTGCCTCCCCTCAATGCCTTTCAGCCTCAGGAACAGCATTCTTGGGCCTGCCAGAGCAAGGACACTCACAAGGACTCGCTTTCAGCCTCAGGAACAGCATTCTTGGGCATGCCGGAGCTTCAAGGACACTCACAAGGACTCACCACAGTTTCTAACTGAGTTGAGATATGGATTCTCTTCAGGGATGGGAGTGAGGGAAGAAAGAGAATCAGTTGTGAGTGGGTGGGATGCACATTCCCCACACTAGTTTCACTTTCTTCTCTGAGGATATGAGCAAAGGATAAGTAAACTGGGCTGGGAGAATAAGTAGGTCATTGCAGCTCCATGCCAAAGGAAAGCAATCATCAAGCCCTTTGCTCCTAGTCCACCTGGCTCCTAGCCCCACCTGACTGTAACTGATGATGCAATGGCATGCTATTTTCTACAGCCAATGCTTCTTGGAAGGTGCAGACTCATCCCTTGCCTCCTTGTCACAACTTAAGAGCAAAAGAGGTATTCACATGGAGTCCTCCTAATAATTTCAGATTTTTTAAAATAACACTGGTGGAGATGCCACTAGTAGGTACCCATTCCCACTGTCCCCTCTCTGTGATGTGGGCCCCCAGATGTCAAAAAGCATATTCCTCTAAAGAGTTAACTGGCCTCATTTTCTTCCTAAAAGCAATCACTTATTTAAAATATATTTTGTTAAAGACAAATGCCACGATTACAGAGCACATTAGGGTGACAGATGTAATACTTACACTGAGTCTGTGCCATGGAGATGGTAGCCCCAGTGTAACGGACAAAGTTGTCCCCTGCATAGCTGACTCTGTAAGAAAAGACAGCATTCGGCTTTGTAAGCAATCAGGTTGTTGCTATTACTCTGAACCCACGTCTACAGAAAGTGGAAGTTTAACAGCACTACACTAAGAGCTCTTTCTTGCTCATCAAATGTAGTATAATTTGGCACCATTTCGCATGACACATTTTGAACAGAAGGATTCATATCCCTATCAAAAAAGGCATGGAAATGTTCTACCTTAATTAATGAGCCAAGTGACTAATTTCCCACAAACCAATGAAATGTAATCTCCCACATCTCTAGGGGAACCAACTGGCTGTGTGTCAGCTTTCCAGATGCAGTTTGCAGACACAGAAATAATTTACCATCAAAGGATAACAACCTTAAGGAATCTGCAGTGTACGTAGGACAGAAAGCAATGTCCTCCCCCTGCAACTCAGAAGTCCTCTCCAAGGTACCACATAAAGAAAATAAGTTTTTTTGACAGGCAAGCTCACAGACAAGATAAAAGTGCATTAATCAATACAACTTTGAAAGCTATTAAAAACAAGAATTCAAAAGCATCTGGTGGTAGACAGTTTTGGAGTGGGTGGGAGAGGCAGTCCAGCAACAGAAGAGGAGTAAAGTGGTGTCTGCTTGCCTACCTCTCTTCTGAGTCTTCACACAGCAATTGGTACCAAGCCTTACAGAGAGAGTCCAGCACAAGATCACTTTGAATCACTGAAACAAAGTATTTTCATACTTACTCATCTGGGTTCTTTCCGGCATTGGCATATGGATTTTCCCTCATTGCTCTTGTTTTGGGGTCATAGTATGCAGAATTGGGGTCTAAATTCCGCAAGTACTGAAAAGATATGACAACATTCAACAAATCAATGTTGATAAATAGCAGAATCACCTTAAGATGACCATACACTTCACCTCAGTGCTACTGTTTTGATAGCCTACCTCACTTAACACAAGGCCTTCCCAAAATGTTACTAAACTTCCTTCTGGAGGGCTCCCCTTAGCTTTCCATAGGTCTGAAAACTATTTGGTCATCTCAGGCTGTGATGCACTGCAATCCCATGCCATCTTTCACTTTTGCTTTCAAACTTCAACCAATTCTATATTTAAAAAAAGTTACAACCATGTATGGATCACTCATTGGGGAGACATTTGAAACTTTGGAGCTTCTAAAGCAGTGGTTCCCAATCTTGGGAAAGCCACGTTTCTTGGACTGCAATTCCCAGAAGCCTTCACCACCAGGTGTGCTGGCTGGGGTTTCTGGGAACTGCAGTCCAAGAACTGGGTTACCCAAGGTTGGGAACCACTGTTCTAAAGCAATGCTTTAATTTAAGAGTCAAATTACCTTCCAAAGTGGTTCAAGGCAGAATTAGGGCCCTTTCTTAAGAAGGATCCAAGTGAATCTTGTCTGGCGTACATCTACTTTTTATACAAATTACTCTTAAGAATTTTTGGTCCTAGTTTGAATATGTGAGATTGTTGGGTAAATATAATGGCTTGAATGAAAACTAGGAAATGAATTAAGGGAAGAATTAGAATAACATGGAGCAGAAGAGCTGTGTCAAGAGTTTCAAGTAACCTGTGTTGCCTTACTTTAGCAGTATCCTCTCGAATACGTAAGTTTCGGACCGTGATGCGCCTTTTAGAGTCAAAATTCTGTCCAGGCATATCAATATCATCTGCATATTTGTCTTCATCTTCTCCTTCACTATTATGATCTCTTTCCTGAAAACAGAAAACTGTATTAAGTGAAACAGCAATAGGTAAGAACTATATACTGTACAGTTAACCTGTTACATGAAGGCCTTTATTTAGACACTGTAAAAAATCATATTCTCATTAATTTATAAATGGCATTCTCAATGGAGATGTTGAAGTATGCTACCAACAACATAAATTGTGTAGCAGTCTGAGCACATATGATTTAGTATTCCACTGCACTGTTGAAGATTCCCTGAATGGTACAGTACTCTGTTCCAAATTCTTCCACTAGGGGAGGGATAAAAAGATAAGGCAGTTTTTATTGAGTCCCCTCTCTGCAACTCACACGTCTTCTCCACCATCCTTCACAAGAAGTCCCACAACCTACAACCCAGATTTTTGTGGGGCTTGGAGGACTGCATGAGATGAGGAGAAATCAACAAATATCACACCTTCATGCCACTCACAAAAATACTTCATAATGAACTGGAAGACTTCCATTGACATTGGAAGCTTTTCATCTGTGGGAAGTGAATGCAAGATCCAAACGTTTGCTTGGATCTGAGTGGGACAGGATTGGTCAAAGTCAATTTTATTTTATGTGACAGCATCAAGGGAACCATGGACAACTGGACAGCGAACTCCCCCGCCAGCTGGTACTTCCTTCTCTGCCAGCAGAGAGCAGCTGAAAAGGCAGCTAAAGTCATTCCAATGACCTCCATGCAATATGGCAACATTTGCCTCATCTCTGACAAGGGAAAGAACTCTCATCAGAACATGGATATTCGATACCCCCTCATGCAAAAGAAACCAATAACACCACCACTTCTTCCCTCCTGCATTTTGTGACTTTTATTTGGAAACATTTCTCACCGTCTGTGAGTTGGGTTCTTCTTCGTCCCATCGATGTCGTGGGGAGTTCTAGAGCAATAAAAAATGTATCAGCACAAAACTACACAGTAAAGTGAAGGATGAGGATGAAGAACGAGTTGCTTGACAACATGAAAAGGTGTGATTTAAAAGAAAATCTATCCCTGAAACCAAAAAGCTAGAACAAAATAGGTTACAACTTGTAAGACGTCTTGATTATGCAAGACACTCTGAAGCAAGCTTGAGTGGCCAAGTATTGCCTAAAGATGACTGACCTCCTCAAGACAAAATAGAAACATCTGAATTAAACTTTAAAATGTTTGTGTGTACGTATACACAAACATCTCTTTGATTAACCCCATTCATAACCATGTTTAGGGATATTACTATTTCCCTAAAACTATGGAATATGAACAAATACTAGTGATTGTAAGGCTACCATTTTAATGGAACAGTTCAAACTGTAATTCATTCATAATGTTACTTATTTTAAAATCGTTGCTTGCAGGAGAATTAAGGGTGGAACCTAATAAAGAGTAAACTGTATATAGTCAAATGAGCCTTCCTGATAAGGCTCCGGTGCAGACTGGTTGTTTAACACAATCTAATATGTAATGCATGATATAATTATTGAAAATACACAAGTTGTTGTGACACAGATAAATTAAAAGCCTGCTTGTTTTAAAGCAAAGCTGTAGTGCACTTAAGCTCCAGAGTAACACAGTGAATTAAAGTTGACAATACTATGCTAGAGGACAAAATAAACTGGCTATATTAAGTAGATTTTGTCTTCTTCACATAACAGTTTTAGGAAACCCTGGTTGCAGTTTCGAAGGCAACATAGTTGCAGTTCAGAGAATTAACTTTTCCACATAATGCTTATATGCAAGGTTCCAGCTAAGCTCGGTGCGCGCGCCTGTGCCTGTCTCTGCCTCCCTGCGTGCAGCTATCTTCCTCCTCCACATAGCGATTGCCTGAGGTTCTGGTCATGATGGAACCCTGTGCGCCCCCCCCCCCGAAAATTAGAAGGTATGTTGAGAGATCATTTGGCCAGTTTTCACTTGTAAGTATCATCCTAGTTGTTGAGTATTCCGGAGTGGAAAAATCCTGAAGCAACCTTAGTTCACATCACAGCAGAACTGATCAAATTTAGGAAACACTCAACTCCTTAAAAGCAGAGGTGAGGACCAGAGCAGACTGTGATGCCATTTGGCCCAGACTGCAGAAGATTCCTGAAACCACAGCTCCTCTGCAACCACCCCCTCCGTTCTTGTCATCTCAAATGTGATGCACTCTGCAATCCTGGGGTGAGAGGCAGCAGAATATGCACCTTCTACACAGCACATGTTCTGCCCACTTCCTGGAAAACTGGCTTTGATGGGGCAGATTTGTGTGAAAAAGCTCCTGGCCTGGCACCATCTCAGTAAGTGAAGTGGTGGTCTGATGGCTGTTTTCAATATTTAATTTAATCCAAAAATTAGAGCCTGAAAACATGGAGCTTTGTTCCCTTCATCATCTGTCACTGCAATAATCCTCCAAAGAAACCTTTAAAATGCTATTTATTTTCTAATTCATTCCTTTGGATTCAGCATTAAGCAGAATCAAAATGAATTTTATTAAGACTGTAACTGTTTATATACAACAGCTGATGCAGCAGAAGTGTGACAGGTCAGCTTGCTTTAATGGGCTACAGATACATGACTGAGGAAGATTTTGCATTTTTGAGGAAAGATGCTTGCTAGCAATCCAAATGCAATAAGATGTTTAGAAAGAAACAGCTGGTTTTATTCCATACCTTCCTGTTGGTGCCACAGCACACTTGTTTATCAGAAGTCTCATCTGATAATGGATTAATATTTTATTCAGATACTTCTCAGAAACTATTGTCTAAGATTAAAGTGAAGGTTGTTCCCATGTTGTAACAGAAGATTATTGGTGTTACTTTAGATTGATTTTAGCCCTCCTCTGCCTTCCGATACATCTCTTCTCCAAATGTTCATGTGGTACATCTCTGTATCTATGCACTGATGTAACAGCATGAACATTATTAGATTGGAGGCTGTGACAAACCCTAGCAACTCTACTTTATTTCTCTGCATTAAAGTTCAGAAGAGTACATATTTTAAAGCATATGATCAAATCGTTGAAACAGATCAAGAGAGTTCAAAGAATGAAAATATCCGACCCAGAAATAGTTCTAGTTCCTCCACTGTGGGGAAGCTTCACCATTATTAGCACAGTTTATATTGCCACCTAGTGAAGAAATAACAGAATTTTCTGCAAAATGAAGGGCAAGCTCATTCATTCCTATGGCTTTAAAACTTGTCGAGTGCTTACTGTAGCTATCACCGTTCTACAGTAGATGAGAACGATTACCATATTTTTTGCTCCATAAGATGCACCTAGCCATAAGACGTACCTAATTTTTAAATACTGTACCAAAATTTAAAATAAAATAAAAATAAATAAAGAGAGCAAGTCCCGCGCTGGGACTGCAAAAAAGAAATCACCAAAAACAAAGCAACATAGAAACATACCCACCCAGCCCAAACCTACCCTCCAAAACCCACCCAGAACATTTTTTAAAAAGTAAAAAGCACCACCTAATAATTAAATACCAAAAAATAAAGTAAAAATAAATAAACAGAGAGCACCTAATTTTTAAATAACTAATTTTTAATTTTTAAACATAGAAACACACCCGCAGTCTAAATCTACCCTCCAAAACCCACCCAGAACATTTTTTAAAAAAGTAAAAAGCAGCCCCTTACCGGTCCAAAGCCTCCCGGAGGTCCTCAAAAGCCAGCGATGGTGGCGAGGCCCCCCCCCACGGAGCCTTCTGAGGCCAGGGAGGCCTCAAAAGCCAGCGATGGTGGCGGTGGGGACCCCCCACGGGCCTTCTGAGGCCTACAGAGGCCTCAGAAGCCAGCGAGGCTGCCGGGGGGACCTCCCACGGGGTCTTCTGAGGCCTACAGAGGCCTCAGAAGCCAGCGAGGCTGCCGGGGGGACCTCCCACGGGGTCTTCTGAGGCCTACAGAGGCCTCAGAAGCCAGCGAGGCTGCCGGGGGGACCTCCCACGGGGTCTTCTGAGGCCTACAGAGGCCTCAGAAGCCAGCGAGGCTGCCGGGGGGACCTCCCACGGGGTCTTCTGAGGCCTACAGAGGCCTCAGAAGCCAGCGAGGCTGCCGGGGGGACCTCCCACGGGGTCTTCTGAGGCCTACAGAGGCCTCAGAAGCCAGCGAGGCTGCCGGGGGGACCTCCCACGGGGTCTTCTGAGGCCTACAGAGGCCTCAGAAGCCAGCGAGGCTGCCGGGGGGACCTCCCACGGGGTCTTCTGAGGCCTACAGAGGCCTCAGAAGCCAGCGAGGCTGCCGGGGGGACCTCCCACGGGGTCTTCTGAGGCCTACAGAGGCCTCAGAAGCCAGCGAGGCTGCCGGGGGGACCTCCCACGGGGTCTTCTGAGGCCTACAGAGGCCTCAGAAGCCAGCGAGGCTGCCGGGGGGACCTCCCACGGGGTCTTCTGAGGCCTACAGAGGCCTCAGAAGCCAGCGAGGCTGCCGGGGGGACCTCCCACGGGGTCTTCTGAGGCCTACGGAGCCCTCAGAAGCCAACGATGGTGGCGGTGGGGACCCCCCACGGGCCCCTCTGAGGCCTACGGAGGCCTCAGAAGCTAGCGATGGTGGCGGGGGGATCCCCACAGGGCCTGAGGCCTACGGAGGCCTCAGAAGCCAGCGAGGCTGCCGGGGGGACCTCCCACGGGGTCTTCTGAGGCCTACGGAGGCCTGAGAAGCCAGCGATGGTGGCGTGGGGGGGACAGTATTTGCTCCATAAGACGCACACACTTTCCCCCCATGTTTTTTTGCAGAAAAAGTGTGTCTTATGGTGCGAAAAATACGGTATGTGGGAAGGAAAGACACACACACAACCTTTGGTTTTAAAAATTGTCTTTTAATTCTTCAGTTCACTTACCACCTGCTCTGTCAGTTTTCCTGAAGCCAGTTCTTCCTGTAGCTTCTGTGCTTTGAGTGTGCGTTTAGCCTTTATATTAAAAGGAAACCGGGATTACTATTCACATTGTATGAAAAGGATCCATAACATTCATTCAACCTGCTATCTGTAGTTTATAATACAGAATTACAAATGACCGTGGAAAGAAAATCATGATAGGGTTATCGCTCGACTTCAGACTTTCACCAGACTTTGTTTGAAAGTTACTTTCCTATTCCTTCACAGTCTCTCAACTCACTTAACGTCTTGCCAGAAGAAACTAGGGTAAGTATGGGCAAACCTCAGAACAGAAATCCATGACCCATTTAATTTTTTCCTACATTTCTTTTCTTTCCCTGTTCCCAAGTCCTTAAAAGTAGTTCTATTAAAATCCTAGTTGCCATCTCAAGGCAAAGAGATCCAATTCCAGATGCAGATAGTTCCTTGCGAATGGTGGTTTGCAAATGGGAGCATGCTTCTGCTTCTCCGCCCTACCTTTGCTTTTCATGGTCAACAGTGGTACATATTTTGCCCTCAACTATCTGGATTTTCCAGAAAGCTTGCATTTAGAAACAGACAGGTTTGTGCAAATGGAAAGGCACTTTCATTTGCATGACACAAGCTTATCAAACTCTCCTAATTTCTCAAAGATCTCTTTACCCATTGGGTGTCGCTTTCAGGAAGTTGTAATACGGGAAGGAAGGAAGAAAACTGTGCCATATGGCCAGCCTCTACCTATACTGGCTACAGCTGGATCTAGCCAATGAGTTGCAAACCCACTACAGACCGTAGCTTCAAGTTGTGGTTTCAAAGGAACAATGTTGAGTGTTTAATCATAATACAATTAATGTCCAGTTAATGTTAAATTAATGTCAATAAGTAGAGAAAAAAAAGAGAAAAACTGCTGTTTAGCCCAACATTACTTTTCTAATGCTGACTAAGCATTAATGATCAACTAAGAACCAAGTGAAGTACACTAAACCCAATACATTCTAAGCTAATGGCTAGCTGATCTCGAATGGGGAGGGATAGCTTGGTAGCAGAACACATGCTTCACATACAGATCTCTGTCTGGATTTCTGACAAGGAAATGTTTGGAAATCTGTAAAGCCACTGGTCAGTGCTATCTAGAGAGGTGGGCAGCTTTCCAGGGTTTCAGGTAAAGGTAGACAACACTGAGCTCAACAGACCAAGGCTGGGACTCAGGGGGCTTCCCCTGTTCCTTACCTCAAATGTTTTACGGTCGTTTCAGTTAATGTGTGTTAATTTGACTGTAGAGGCAAAATCTCTCTATTTTTGCATCATTTTCTGCCACAACTACCGAAGTGTTGTGTTAGTATGACCAAGAAAGAAAAGAAGAAAGTGCTACTTACAAGATCAACCTTAGCATATTCTTCCACAATCTTCATGTGCTCTTCTGGATTGTAGCCATTCCAACGGTCTCTTTTTCCATCATAATCAAACTTCAACTGAGGCTGCACGTGCTCATCTGGTGCAATGTTTGTTCCTGTGTATTTTGCTCCGACTCTTCTGGGTCTCTGAAAGAAACAAAATACAATCACCAAACCCCTGGTCTTTGGAAAGGAAATGGGCTGTATCATTACTCGCATCTTAACAGAAAAGTGTGGCAAAGCAGCACACATCAGGATTAACTTTTCACACAGCACAGAAGATTATTTCTGCTGATTTTTGTCCTTTTTGCAGGTTTGTCTTAAATCTGACCACCTCCACTCTCATCATCTATATGTCTGTTGCCCCCAAGTGGCTGGGTCTCATCCAACAGTACCAGGAGTGGAAACAGAACAACAACATAAAATTGGAAAAAATATGGTTGCTTACAAAGTAAAGCACCACCAATCCCATGGAACTTCAGCTCCAGTGTAATAAGTTAACTATGTCATCTGTCAATCTCACATTGCCCTGACTGTATGACAGCAGCAACCACGCTTCAATGACAGCATAGTAAACCCCAGTCTCCACCATCGAAAGGACAAATTCAGTTCTCCTAGACCCAGTTCTATCAAGGAGCATAAACATAGGGAGTATGCACAAAATAACCACTACACCTCAATACTGCACCATTTTATAATGTGCCCCTTCGGACAATTCTGGGTGTTTAGGCACCTTCTTGAAGTGTTTGCCACTTGTCAACGAAAAAGAATTGCCAGAGAAAGCAAGTCTCAATACTGCACCATTTTATAATGTGCCCATTTTATAATGTGTAGTCAACTGCACCAGAGCACAAAGTGCTGTCCTCTGAAGATGCCGGCCACAGAGACTGGCGAAACGTTAGGAAGAACAACCTTCAGAACACGGCTGAAGAGCCCGAAAAACCCACAACAACCAAAAGCAAGTCTACTTCAAAGAGACATTCCTATATAAAACCATTTGCTTTTAAGCTGAAAACCCCCACAACTCAACTGCAATCTGGAGATAGATTGTTTTTTCTGCCATACTTCAGATGCCTACTTAGAGAAGAGACAAATTTGTAGGCCTTCCCACCGTAACACTGCATTAGCAGGCTTTCAAGGAACTGATTTTAAAACTGTGAAAAGGAGAATGCATGCAACAGCACACCAACTGTTCTTAAGAAGTTAGCTTTAATTCATAATTATCTTGCAGTGAAAGTTGAAACAGAAGCATCTTTGCAATATAACTGCATCCAATCTAAATGATCACCAAAAAACATGATTCTTACCTCCAGGCAGTCTTTCTTCTTATGCGTCAGGGCACCACAATTCTCACATGCTCCCTTGCGATATTTAGTTGTAACGGCATTCTTGAAAGAAAAACAAATGAGTATTTCACAGCAACAACCACCTTCCTTCAATCGAAATATGATGGGATGCACTTGAACTCTAAAAAAGCATCTTGGCTAGACAACTGAAATTGTCCTAAAATGCTAATTTCATGACATTTTATCCTTAAGGAGATGTGTGTATCCAATGTGCCATCCAGTATAAAACTACCTTGCAACACTTGATACTCAAAATGCAAGATACAGTGTCAACCTTCTGAATGTGCCCCCACCCTGCCCATGAGACCAAAAAAAAAGGGGGGGGAAGAAAAAAGAATAGTTAACTGGTTAGGATTTATTCACCCTCTAGCTTCTGCTATTCTTAACTTATACAAGGTTACCTACTTCTTTGACTCCTCGCTTGTACCATTCCCCTAGCAATGTATATTCACGCTGCTTCTCTGGTTGAGGTCGCTGATGCTTTAGTGTAGGCCTTTTGGAAGGATCGATATACCAGGGGACTGAGGAAATATACTGAGGAATATGAGGGTTGATGTCCCTGTAATAAAATAGGAAAAATATTGGAGACAGCTGTCTGTTACAGAGACTTCTTGTACGGTAAGACTCAGTGAAGACAGGATCTAACGAAGGAAGATACAATGGCATGGTGCTGTTCCTTACTGCTCTACAAGGTCTAGAAAGCTAGTCATGAAAGGAAATGTGGAAAATCCCTTATTAACTAGGCAAAGAACCTTAGATTGCTCAGGCTCCCACACTTTGTCATGTAAACAGAGAACATGTACGCATCACTCAAATCCTCTTAATTTTGATAATGTAAGATCAGATAAAAGGAAGGGCTGCAGTAACTAAGTTTCCTTCCACAGAGTTCAATGGAAGGGGAAGACAAGAAACTCAGAAAAGCTATCCTTCCCTGCCCTCCTTGTGCTGGAACAATCAGACTCAGGTTTAGCTTTCAGCACTCTATGAGTGCACCTGACTATCAATATTATTATTATTGTTGTTGTTGTTGTCGTTGTTAGTTTTATTTGTATGCCACATTTCTCCCAATAAAGGGCCCCAAGGCGGCTCAAAGCATTAAAATTAACACAATTAAAACACAAAAAGTTAAATATTAAAAGACAAATTAAATATATAATTTAAAATAAAAATAAAAGATTAAAACATGGAAAATATTAAAATTATCTGCTAAACAAACTTTATGGTTCATTTTTTGAGTTCATTCTGGGGGAGACCACCCATTCTTTCCCAGATACACAAGGGCTGTAATTCAGATGGCAAGTCATGTGGCATAAGGCTGCTCTCTCCCTGCTCTCAGTGTCATGCACTACTGGGGGTTGCAAGGGGCAACTTTTGTGAACCTCTGCACAGCACAGAGAAACACTCCTCACTCAATATCTCAACTTTACATAAGCAAGACACATACCACTCTCTACTACACAAGGGACTATGTACAGAAGTACCTCGGTTTATGAAATCAATGTGTCCTCTGGGACATTACATCATGCAAAAAATCTGTAAACTGGAACGCGGACTGCTGTAGCAACGGCAGCGGTGGTGCTACAAACTTCCAGGCATGGGGGAACTTCCTTTGCAAAGTGAAAGAAACCGAAACCTCCCCTCCATAAACAGAGGCATTATTTTGAACAGATTTCTGTTCATAAATTGGAAATTACATAAACCGAGGTACTACTGTATAAGGTCTTTTGATGCATACAGGGGCACCTGGACTACTAGCACCCTTAGCTGCCATTGTAGAAGACCTATATGCAAGTGTTGAAACTGGCAGATGGCCCAGTATTGTCAGGTCTGACTGGCAACAATTCTCCAAGCATTTAGGCAGGACTCTTTCCTAACCCTACCTGGCACTACTGGGCATTAAACCTGGGACCCCTTTGCATGCAAAGCATGTGCTGTATCATTGAGATACAGCTCTTCCCCAACACAACACATGGTTTTGCCTGGAGGTCTCTCATCAAAGTGTGACCAGGCCCAGCCCTGTTTAGGTTCTGAAATCAGATGGGATCAGGATTCTTCAGGATGGTACAGTCATGGCCTCAGGATTCTTCAGGATGGTACAGTCATGGTACAGTCATTAAACTGGCTGTTTAATACCCATGGGCATGACAGACATAATTACTGGTTCTTTTTCTATGTTGTTTAATACCCATGGGCATGACAGACATACGGTAATTACTGGTTCTTTTTCTATGCCAGCATTGATTTTCTTCTCCCAATGACTGTCCTCCCTCTACTGCTAATTAATATTCAGATGTAGCAGACTTTTCCTCAAGGTAACTCCAACAGATCAGCCTCCAGCGAATCAATGGATCCTTGCCTTTCAGATTGTCTTGTTAAACTGCTTGATAAAGCCACAGAGCTGTGCACACTTTCTAGGAAGTAAGTCTATTGAACCTGGTAGTCGTGGTGGACCTCCTTCCAAACCAATATACATATAATTGAGCTAAATGTAAGGAAAAGATTGCAACAGAACACTTAGGGTTCTACGACTGCCAGCCTATCCAACTGCCTGTCCACTCCGGAAAGGCTAGAGAAGATCACACAGTTTTAAGGCAGGGATAAACTTCATACTTCATTTAGAAATTAGCTGCAGAATACTGTCACAAAACAAAGATGCCACAGATTCTTTCAAGACATACTCTTGTTGTCTAAGAGTGCACTTAAAAAGCATAGAAGGCTATGCATAAATTTTAGAATAATCAAAGGGAATTGCTAGGAGAGGTAATAGACAAGATTATATTTAGAATGGCACACAAGCCTTACTTTCCCTCTTCATCCACTTCAGCTGGTGCATTGCCCAGTTTTCGCTGTTCTTCCAATTCTTTTTTCTTCCTCCAGTCCTCCCTTGTCATCTTCTTAGGCTCTTCTAAGCCATTGGACCCTCCAGAAGGGTTAGTGGCTATCGTTTCCACACTTCCAGATTCCATTGTCTTTTTCCTACTAACATAAGCAGACGTATCATCTACACAAACAGACCACTACAGTTTAATAAATGTCCTTATCAGTAAAATATTATGAGTTCAATATACAGTATCAAGCATCTCAGATATATTCCCTCCCTGTTACCCTATTGTATCATCAGCCTCCTTATAGTAGGTGGGATCTGGTTTGCTACCATATGTTGCAGAGGACCTATGATAAGAAGCTGAACGCTATAGTTTTTTCATGTCCTGGAGAGAGGCAGAGATGAGTGTGGTGCCAAGTTGATAGAGAAAGATGAAGGGAATTAAGAAATGATTCTGGAATCAAGGTTCCAGAACAAAAGCATGCAGGACTGTATAACTATGGCTAGAATCTGTTAGTTATATTAGATCAGCTATGAAATAACTTCTAAACACCTGTACAATTCACATTGTTACTTGAATAAATAGAAGTTTTTCCATTGAGGAAGCTATTGAATTCAAAGTCCATGCATCCAGCTTTAGCTGGTTGTCTTTTTTAGCCCTGATGCTTTAAGTCCTTGTAACTAGAAACATTGTGGATTAAAGTAGTAAGCATGCACATTATTCCCAAATGAGTTCTCTTCCCATAATATAGGCACTTTTGACTGCCATATTTGTCAGTTCCTAGAATCCAGCAACCAGCATAATGTAGGTTAACAGAGGATTCTGGATACTGTAGTCCAACAAGACATTTCCAAGTTCTGTGTATTTTTATACACAGTACTTACAATTCACTCAGATTGTAGCACAGCACATACAGAGTTCCAATACTGCCAGTGCTAACACTCATTAAAGTTTCTCTCTGAAAAATGTTATTAACCCTTTATGAGAGGCCTTTCTGTCAGGTCCACCACCTTCACAGGAGCAACAGGGGAGAGGGCATTCTCTGTTGCTGCTCCTAGACTTTGGAACTCCCTCCCACGGGAGGCCAGCCCAGCCCCATCTTTCCCACCCTTCCTCAAGCAAGCAAAAACGGGTCTCTTCAGGCAAGCCTTCCTTCAGTGCAGACTGCTGAGTGGAGTTTTAAAAATGGATTGTTGTGCCTTACTGCTCTGAATGCATTTTGGTGTTGCTCCTGCTTTTCATTGATCCTTTAATATTGCATACTGATGGCTATTAATCCCAGATACTGATTTTTAATTGTTACAAGCTGCCTTGGGTCCTTTTTAAGGAGAATGGCGGGTAAGTAGTTCTCCAACCTTGGGCCTCCAGATGTTCTTGGACTTCAGCTCCCAGAAATCCTGGCCAGCAGAGGTGGTGGTGAAGGCTTCTGGGAGTTGTAGTCCAAAAACATCTGGAGGCGCAAGGTTGGGGACCATTAACAACGAAACATACTCCAGACGTGGAAACACACACACACACACGAAAAAAAACAACAACCCCCAAACTTGTGGCTCTACAGATGTTGATGATTAAAACCCCGATCCTCTTCCTCCCTCCTCTCCACGCCGGCTGGGGCTGGTGGGCAATGGAGGAGAAGGACCCGAAGAGCGAGCCCGAAGGCAGAGGAAGGAATTAATTACAGGGAGGTAGTTTTGGAGAAGTACAATTTCCAGAATCCCCAAAGCAGCATGGCTGTGGCATATCTGCATGTGTGCGCTAGCTGTTTATTTGAACTTGCCATTTATATTTTGTCAGAGTTTCATTGTCTGAAACAGGTGCATGGCAGGCAGAAACCCAACAGGAAAACATCCCCCATCACAGCATTTGTGTATTAAATTTCTGCCTATCACACAGCAGGAAAGACAAAAACCCATTAATGCAGACAGTAAAAAAAAAAAAAAAAAAAAAACCAACGAAGTATCTTGTACTATAATGATTGACTGCAATTCTGTTCATGTCTGTTAAAAGTCCCATCTTTCCTTACTCTTTCGGTCAAGCATATGTAGGAGTGCGGCCTCACACACTTTTATCAAGACGCAAGCTTTCACAGATTGGAACTCACTTCATTAAGTGCATGAAGGGGTTCTAGTCACCGTTGCCCCGTCTACTATTAGGAGGCCGACTTAAATTCTAGCGCAATCCCATATACTGTACGTACATCTGTTAAAAGTGCCGACAGGACTACAGCCTGCTCTGCTCGGGAACAGCAGCAAAGAAGTCTTTGTGGATAAATTTTAAAAGAACGCGAATTTCCTTCCTGTGTAATCCGGGGCTCCAATAAAGGGGGCATTTAATTGGGAGTAAAGCCCATGGAGGTCAATGGGGTTTAACCCTGAATAGATGTCGATAGGATCAGGTGTTTGGGAGGAATGTGATTGTTCTCTACGTATTTCTCTTTACCAAGGCACCAGGCGGAATAGATAGATAGATAGATAGATAGATAGATAGATAGATAGATAGATAGATAGATAGATAGATAGATAGATAGATAGATACACACATACATACGCACACACATACAGAGAGATTGATTCTTTCTGGTGCCTTGATAAAGAGAAATACGTAGAGAACAATCACATTCCTCCCAAACACCTGATCCTATCGACATCTATTCAGGGTTAAACCCCACTGACCTCCATGGGCTTTACTCCCAATTAAATGCCCCCTTTATTGGAGCCCCGGATTACACAGGAAGGAAATTCGCGTTCTTTTAAAATTTATCCACAAAGACTTCTTTGCTGCTGTTCCCGAGCAGAGCAGGCTGTAGTCCTGTCGGCACTTTTAACAGATGTACGTACAGTATATGGGATTGCGCTAGAATTTAAGTCGGCCTCCTAATAGTAGACGGGGCAACGGTGACTAGAACCCCTTCATGCACTTAATGAAGTGAGTTCCAATCTGTGAAAGCTTGCGTCTTGATAAAAGTGTGTGAGGCCGCACTCCTACATATGCTTGACCGAAAGAGTAAGGAAAGATGGTACTTTTAACAGACATGAACACAATTGCAGTCAGTCATTATAGTACAAGATACTTTTTTTTTTTTTTTTTTTTTTTTTTTGCAAAAGGGGGGGCTTAACATGATGGCACCCGATGTTCGAGTAACACGTTTAAACTCTCCCTTGAAAGAACTGCTTTGCTGCTTGAATCCATTGTATTTTTTGGTCCATAGTAGGCAATTTGAAGATTAAGAGAAATGTCACGGAATTTTGTTATTTTGCTGACAAATACAAGACGAATAACATCTACTTTGGGATTAGTATGTATGACACCAACAGTGGAATGGACAGGGAAAGCGGTAGAAACTCCTTCATGATCTTGCCTGGCCATAGGTCAGGAATGCTTTATTTATTTGGTAGTGGGTTCGATTTGATGACCTTCCAGCGCTACAGTTCTATGTTGGGACGGGTGGTTGGTTTGAAATAAGCCTTAGGATGCATTGGATTTTTTCCCAACGAGGTAAAGGGGGCTTCTAGAGCATCTTGTACAGTACAGTATTTGCATTTATATTTGCAAACGGGAGTTGTGTCAGGGGCGGGACCAAGGCCAAGCCCACCCTCTTCCCTACGATGGGTTTAGCGAAACAGCCAACCACAGGCGTTAGCGGCGCACGAGGGCAGCGGTAGCCAATGAGGTGCGAGAACCATGATTTAAAAGTGTTCGGTGGTCAAAACGGAACCGCGATATACTTTGCATTAGAGTTGCGGTAAGTTTGTTTGTTGTTAATTAACGGGTGGATGTTTTCCAAATGCTTCAGACTTCCTTTGCGGCGATAATTAAAAGGATGACAAAGGGGAAAGAGTAGAGGGTGTAATTGGTAAGCGTGTTATGTTTTGTATTTTTTAATAGTTGCCTTTATTTAGGGTAGTTTTGCTAAAGTCTCATAGTTTTTCTTCACAGACCAGGATAGTTTCTCTTACCGTGGTGTTTCCTTTGGTAGTGTCGCTGTACCGGGATTTCTTTTAAAGAGTATAGTCTAGGTAAGTAAGGGAAATTTTTATAGATTAAGCTAAAAACGCGAATTCTATCGCCGTTAAACTCATGAGGTGCGGTAACTGGAGGCAATTAAGAGTTCAATTCTGCCCATGTTTACTTGTGACCATTACCAATTGAGATATAATGCTGAGTTTTTAGTGGAGGATGTTCACCTAATGATAGAATTATCTGAAGCCTTTGTGCCAGCCTGGGGAAAAAAGGTCTCTAAACATGTAACAAGTCTGTATTTTAGAGATACAGTACAAACATAGTTTTGTTTAAATCGAAGTGTGCACCGTGTTTTTCAAAATAAAGACTGAACTTGTATTGCTTAGTTTAGGAAATTGAATCATTGTGAATTTGGTAAATCAATTTCTCTATTTGCAACTTAATATGCTAAAGTAACTTAGGCTCATCAAACTCCACAGATTCAATGGGTTTACTGTAGTGCAATTAACCAAACAGCAGGATTCCAGCCAAATTATCCTAATGGCTGTACTGATATACTTGACAATATATATCCATTACTTAATATATGTTAAATCAAATTAAACAGGTTTAGTTTGTTTAAACAGCTGTAGAGAATAGCTTTTCTTTGGGCCTGAGATGGAATGAACTGGTGCTGGTAAATAAAAGAACCTGAGTCAGACAGCTGAAGAAAGTATTACATATTTTTGTGTAAAAACAGTGGTTGCTGCAGGTTTGAAGAATTCTGTGAGAGCTTTTGAATGGTACTGCTGTATTGCCAGTGAGATATTATTTATTACTTAACTAAAATATTTTATTTATTTACCCCACCTTTCTCCTTTAAAAGGACCAAGGTGGTTTACATAATTAAAAGAAAATATTTAAAAGCTGAAAACTGTAAGTATACAAATATTTTATAATTAAATACCACACTAAAAATGGCACTTAAAGCCAAAAACTCATTCAACAAGGAACAACACTCCATTAAAAAGCCCTTCTCAGACAGCCAATCACTAATGGAAAGCCTATCTGAAGAGAGAGGTCTTCATCTGTTTGCAGAAAGATAGCAGCGATAGGGTTGATCCTTGTGACCTGTCCCAGTTAACAATCTGGTTGTGTTGTTTTGGACCAGATGAAGTTTCTGAGCATGTTCCAAAAGGAGTGCCATATAGACTGCATTATAGTAATTCAGCTGGGATACAAATATGTTAACGTAGCCAGATCAGACCTCCAAGAAAGCACAGCTGACATTAGTTTTAATTGGCCAGATGCACTCCTGGCCACCACTGAAACCTGGGCATCCAGGCTCAGAGATAAATCTAGGAGCAACTCGACAGCTTCTGTTTTCAAAGGGAGTATAACCCCATCCAGCCCAGGCCAAATTAACTAATATTTTAACATAATTATGTGAAATAGCTAAGCAAGCAATCCTGACAGTACTTGTCGCTATTTGTTTCAGTGGCCATCTGATGCCAAAGTCATGGCAACACACATATTCATAGACAAAGAGAATGGTGAAACTGGCACAACTGCTACTTCTAAGGATCAACTGAGACTTCTTTCAGCACCTGGTGAGTTTGTATTAATGTACACTTAAAACTAATTTAGATAATTGATACAGCAATTTGCTTAAAAGTACTAATTTGGATTAATATTTTGAGTCCTTTGCAGTTCTATGAGAAATATCATTGATCACCCTTCTGTTTAGCTTCATGGTAGTTCAACCTACAGTATACTGAAATTTGTCCCTTGCATCTCAGGAAGGCCGAGTGGAGTTGCAATATACCATCTTAACTTCAGTTGTTATACTTAGCACTTTTAAAATTAGACTTCTAGCAACTGCCCTGTTGTTTGAATTGGTTGCAAGATTGCAGGTTATATGCGCAATAGGCTTCTGGTCAATCTAATCTTATTATGTGTAATAGCATGCATGTAAAAGAGAGATTTTTAAAATGTGCTAGTTTCTTCAAGCATTTTTAGTGAGTTTTATTTCTTTCCACAGCAAAGACTTTTGTTGAAAAGTCTCATCCTAGGACTCCACTTGTTGGAAGAACAGCCAATGTGAATTCAGCAGCATCCCAGTCGGTCAGGAAGGCTCTAGGAAACTTGAATCGGCCTCTGTCAACTACAATGACTCAGTTTCGTAAAGGAAAAAAGTTCTCTGTAAAAAAGGTTAGTAGAACCAATACTCTGTCTAAAATAAATTCAAAATTTTAACAGAGACCGAAGTGTGCTAGTGCTGAATTTTGACCAGATAACAATTGTGAGTAAAAAATCAAAAAGCTCATGCTAGCTTTTTAGTTAGGTAAGTTGAACAGGATGGTTCAGACATGTGCCTCAGTCTATCCGGCAGTAATGAGTAGTGCCTGTCAGCTGACCTAAAGTCAAAACACTAAGTAACCGAAGCTCTTTCTCTTTATTTATTCTGGATTAGTAACAAAAAAAGTGGAGTGCTTTGACAAGCAAGTCAGGGATTCCTTAATTTGCAGTAAACCAGGGATGGAGAACTTGTGGCTTGCAGGCCAAACTTGTACTGTGAGTGCCCTCATCAGACTGCCCTCTCTGACACCTGCTCCATTCACCCTCTTGATTGGGGTTGTGGATGTATGATGGATCACATTTTGATCCAACAGGGATACCAACAGGAGTATTCCTGCCCAGAGCTGCTTGCTCTCCCAGTTCTGAACACAAGTGACATAAAAGGTAACTACTGTTATTTCTGGTCAGATAGCAAGCAGGGTGTGGGCCTTTGCCTGCCTTTGTCTTTCCTAAAGTGGGAAGGCACAGGGCAGGTGAAGCCTTCTGAACATCTGTGCCAGTGGTAGGAATGAAGCTTCAGCCAGCAACCTTGGAATCAGCTTTGTTGCACATTGAGGTCTCCTCACTGGGGAAAGCACAATGATAACGGGGACAATGATAACGGGGACAATGTGATATCCCTAATGGATTTTTTTTGGCATAGAGAAAAATGATGGAACTAAGTGGTAGATTCCTTGAAAGTAAAAATTAAAGGCTTCTCAACCATACACTGAGGAAACTACAATCCTACATCCCAAAGACATGATACTAAGAAATGTAAAGGAAGAATACACATTTGCAATCAATGATATGAGGAATGCTCTGATAATGTTGGCATTTAAATAGCCCTTATTATAAGCAAAAATCATATACTGGTCCAAACTCATAGTGGTGATGGAGTAGAATGTTAGTGTAGCCATCACCCTGCTTTGGCTCAGGTAGAAGATTATTGGCATGTACCAATGAGAGCTGTTGGGAGGCAGAGCCAGAGAAACTAGAAGAGAGGGGTGAGTCAGAGTCTAGTTAGTTCAGTCAGAGACAGAGAGGAGAGAAGATAGTTTGGGTTTGAGGCAGGGAGAGTGTTTAAGGAGTGATTAGTCAGAGTGTGATCTGTATTAAGACAGAAGAGGTTAAAGTAAAATACCGAAGCTTTGTGTAACTTTAAGAATGTGCTTAAGAACTGGTCCTAAAACAATTTGTAATTAATAAACCTGTTTCTGTTTAAAAGTTCAATACTGAATGGACTTCAGTCTTTCATAGGAAATATAGGTTGATAAAGAGATCAACTGGTGGCAGCGTGTTAAAAGGTGTGTTGGGATACCTTCATGAGCTCTGGATTTGGTGAAACAAATGTGCCATGGGGTAAATGTCACAATTGGTGTCCAGTGGTGGGATACAAAATAATCCAGTGAAGCCAAGGTTTAAAACTGAATTTTCTGGAGCCGTGGGTACCTTTTAGTCAGAGGTCTGAGGTGAAGAAGTGGGTGACGAGCTAGAGCTTTTGTGGAAAAGCTTAGTGGCAGGGCTTCTGAACCCAGATCTGGGGAAACTAAAGATAGGGATCCAACTCTAAAGGAGAAATTCTTTTTTTGTTTACCCCAGGATTTGAGAGATCCAGTGATCATATGCAAATTTCACAGACTGAGGATAACCTTTGCATGGCAGACATCTGAAGAAAATCTTTACTCCTTGTCTTCTGGTTCTCTCAAAATAATGGAGTAAAAAATTAGAGGAAAAAACATACACCTTAAAAATATTTTCTAAAGTTAAGCAAAGTAAAAATAAAGAATAAACTTCTTGGTGGCTTTCTCTGTAATGAAGTCCCACTGCAGAGTCAGTAATCTGAAGTATCAGCAGTAAGATAATGAGATCAGAAGACAATGCAGGTGTTTGTCAAGGAGTTCTGCATAAGATGGGCATAACTTATTTCAATGCAGGCTGTATTTGCCCTTTTCAAGACTAGAATAATCTGTCTTCTGGGATCTACACTACCTATTGCCAGGAGAGGAGAATTTAGTGATATGCTATAACAATCTAAATATACAGTGGTTCCTTTTAATGTTTGAGGTAGCAGGTGCAGATGTAACATGTTTCACTGCTTGCCTGGAACACATCAGTATAGCTTTTACCAATTTTATGTGTTATTGGAAAATAAATTGTTTAGGAACATGAATGACTGGGAAAATTACTCTGCTGGGAAACCTTTTCCCTCTGTAGTTCTAATGGGATGCTCCAGGGAAAGGGTGCTATTGTTCCAGCAAAGCTTGCAAAAACAGTCCTGTTTTACCCACACTGTGCTTGTGGTAACTGTGGGAACTCTATTTAGTTTCCATCCTCAGTTCTTCAGCTGAGAAAGCCTCTCAGATCAGCTCACATAAGAGCATGACAAAAAGACAGTCCCTGTTCATTGGCTTCCAATGTGAATTATGTCATATAAGGACAAGCAACTTGGGCACCCCCTCTACAAGAGTTATAGGAGTTCTTATTAGTCTAGACAGTAGTTTGGACCTGGAATAAGAATAGCCCAGTAGAGGAGGATTGAAGGGGTGTAATCTACCAGCATTGACTTCAGTAGTGAAATTCTGGCTAAGGTATCCAGAAGGGGAAAACACATGAGGGCATAGTCTTTTTGTTCTCATGTTTTATAATTATTTTCTCTTAAGGCTACTGAGAAGACGAACACAGTTGAAAGCTGCAGTGTTGTTACTGAAGATTGTCCAGAGAAGGAGAATCTGTTTTTCTATAATCCTCTAGGTAATTAAATAATACATTTTGGGTCTTCTTGACAAAATGGAGAGGGCAGCTTGATTCTTATAGCTAGCAACATCAAGGGACAAATTTTAACCATCCAGACAGTGGGCTATGATGGGATGTCAAACATTGTACATTAAATGGACTTTATATGCTTTATTTGGACAGTGCATTTTGGGGTTTCTGTGTAGGATTGTATCAGATTTGACTTCTGTTTTTTTGTGCTGTTCCAACGCAAACCAAAGAAATGAACTTGTGAGTACCAAAACATTTGCAACTGCAACAGTTTTCTGAGAGAAGGGTTGCATTTTCTGACAGAATTGCAAGGGTGCCAATATTTTTGGCTGTGACTGTAAATATGTACCTAATATTTGTATAGTATGTAAAATATGATTGAAACTTAAGTAGACTGATTTTAAATGTTGTCTCTACTCCTCAAGGATGGAAGATAATGCTACATTATTGATATTTTATTGAACAGACTTTGAGAATTTTGAAGTTCCTGAGGAGCACAGGCTGAGCCACATGTCATTGACAGGTGTTCCTCTCATGACATTTGAAAAAGCATCTGACATATTTACTGGCACAGTCTCTGTACCCATAATGCAACCTCCAATTTCATGGGATTATGGTAAGTATAGCAAATAATGTCTTGATTTCCATTCAGCAAAGTGGGTCCCTGAAATGTCCCACTGAAAGGGCATAAAGTGAATCAAGGACATGCTGATTATTGAATAATATGGTGGTTGCTTAGCAACAGTTGCCTAAAATATGGATGACTAGACTCAGTAGTCTGAGCACTAAAGGAAAAGTGACATTAGGACTTGAAATGATGAAAACTAGAATGCAATTTCACTGATATGCTGTATTTTTTCCTTTCCAGACACTCTGCAATCAACCAAAGATTATTTAGCTACCTTGGATGAAATAATAATTGATCTCCCCCCTCCGTTGTAATATTTAAACAGGCTACTTTTTTTTAAACTTAGTTCTGGACAACTTGTATCAGTTTCATAATAAAGAACATGTAACCAAGGTCTATGCTGAATTGGTTAACAAGCTAGAAATCTGGAGAGGTGTAGTGGATGTAATTAGAATTCCTGATGTGCTTTGTGACTAGAGGAAAAGGCACACACATGACTGCAGAGGGAACTCCTAACTAGAAGGAAATATTTTTGGATAGAAAAAAAAATAAGGAAAAGTTTGCTTGGTCCCTGAAACAATTATTGAATAGCTACTTTCAAAGCATCCATATGCATGCTTTTATCTAAACTGGACAGTCACCTTAATTAATAGTTTAAAAATGGAGGTCTTCTGCAGCCTTTCCCACTGGATCTTTGTTGCTGTTTAAAGGTTCAGTCACATAATTGTAAGATATTAGATGGTCGAGGAATCAAATATTTCTGGTTTTTGCTTGGGATCCTTTGTTAAAGCAAAGTTCTGTATAAACATAACTATTTAATATCACTTCAGTTCTATTCTGGCAAGGTGACAAAACTACATATCATTTCCTAGGAAATGTATATTTAAGTAACTAATGATTCTGTCTTCTGGCAAGTAAATCATATGGAGGATGTTTAAAGATGGGCTATTGACTGCCTTCTAGATGATCTGTCCTTTTCAAAATGAACTCTGCAACAGGGAGAAATGTCTTTGAAGGATGAACAGTCAGTGATTTAAGATACTAAATGACAGTTGGTTTCAAAGAAAATACAGTACTATGTCTACTTGAGTTGCACTCTTTAAACACTGGATGTTTTACTGCCTAACCTCCAAGTGATAATCAGAAATATTTCTTGTATCCACATGCACCATGGGTTTTTGCTTCCACTGAGCGGCCATTTTGATGTACCACATTATTACTCTTAACTGGGTTGACTGACAAAGATAGTACTTACCTTGGTTTTTTGAACAGTACGGGATCTTCATCATTTAGCTTCATTTAGGGCACTCATTAACAACAACAAAAACATTCTTACTAATCATTACCAGAAGAAAGGTCAACAATAAATACACTGGAGTAGAGCAAGTGCAGACAATGAGTTAAAGGCTTCACGTACAAGTAGAACTGATACATGTTCCAGTAAAAAGAATCTTGACAGGAATTATTGCTGAAGAGTTAATAAGGCGAGAGCATGCATATACTGAGCAGCTGTTGGTGAAGATCTGTCTTGAGCATTCCGAACACAAAAACACGCACGAGAGCTTGGGAAAACCTAAATAGTAGAGCCAATGAGAATGAAAACCAGGTATAGTTATGTTAGGTTTCATCGTTTCCTGCAGTAGGTAAATGGAATTACAGGAGGAGGGGCTGGGAATGTTAACATAGTTTTGCAAAGCAGAGCTTTTTGCTATAGAGATACAGCCAGTGTGGAATTTGGTTTCTTTGGCCAACAGCATGAGGGGCTGTTTATGTGTTGGGGAGGTGGGGTACAAGTTTTCAGAAGTATACCTGGTGAATTGTGACAGTTGGACCTGCTTGGCTACATTCATCACAAATGTATAATACAGGTGACAAATGAATATAGTCTCTTTTTAAAAAGTATACTTTTTGCTAAAGGGAATTTTAAGAGGGTAATTGATTTTAGTGAGGGGCTAGGTCTTATTTTATGGCACACTGGAGGTGAAAAGCATTGCATTTAATGGGGACATGCCTGCCTATATACAGTACTAATGGGCTGAATCATGCTTATAGGAACATGCACTAAATGGGTGAATGAAAAGCTACCCAAACCGTCTGTAGAGTTTATTGCTTCAAAAATGGAAAAGGTCACAAATTCTTGTCACTTCTATTCAGAGGTGGGTACCATAATTGAATGTATATAGTATGATCTTGGTAATAAACTTTCATGCTGTGCAGCCATCTACTCACAACGTTCTAGTTAGAGAGCTGACTATTGTTAAAAAGTCCCTGCTTTTTTCTTTTTGGCTTCTGCTGAGAATTTCTGAACTTAGGCAAAACAGTTAACCATGTGGAATAATTCAAATCATATTTCCCAGTTCCAGGCTTCCTCTACAGGTTCTAGATGACGACCACAAAGGACGTTGTTATAATATAGTTTACTTTGCAGCTGAGTGTTCAACAGCATGCAAACAGTGTGATTGTAAATTTTTAGGTCTTCTATTCAGGGGGACATTAGGTTGTAACAGAGTAAGATGAGGCGAGACTGCTTAGAATCATAGGGCACTGCTCAGTGGCTTCTACCTGTGCAAAAATTTCCCAATTCTTTTCGATGCGTTTGTTGATTGATGCTGATGTGTAGGCAAACACACTTCAATGTGGCACAGCGGTGAAGCAAGTTATGTCTAGAGGGTATGCAAGTTGTTTTGTAATTTTATTTTTATGGAACTTTGTAGCAGGTTATGGGTTAAAGGTACAGGCTGATGAGAGATTATTGCAATCTTGTCAAAATGGAGTTTTTAAAAATTCATAATGGCCAGACAGTTGTTACTTAAGGAAATAATTTAGAATTTATTGTGTTCATTGCCCCACTACTCTGCTCACAAAATGTGCTCTTATGCTCTCCTCCTGATACAAAGAAGATACCACTTTGCTAATTTGTTCTTCTGTACATTTTTTGTGAGGAAAAAAATTAAATAATTCACAAGCACTGTATGCTGATGTGTCTGCTTTCTCAGTTTTCTCATCCTTTTCCTGTGTTCCTCTCGACTTGTGAATGGCTGCCACCATATATGGTATCCAGGCAAGTTGAGATTCCCTGATAGTCTATGCTGCTAGGTGGTTTGTGAGCTAATCCCAGTCATTTCAGCCTGATGTGAACAGGAGCCACTCTGTCCAGGCACAATGACTGACAAATGGGATGGCTTGGATAAGGGCCATTCTGCTATTTTAAATCAATGCTACAATAAGAGTGGTGAGAATGTGAACCGTTGTGGCAGGAGGGGAAAGACATTGGTGGCATGACAACACCTCTTGACTTGATGCATGTATTGCCCTATTGGTTGTTGGTGTTACATGCCATCAAGTTGGGACTGACTTGCAGCGACCCTAAGAGGGCTTTCAAGGTAGGTGAGATATTTAAGGAGCAGTTTCCCGCCAAAGTGAATTTTCATAGCGGAGTGGGGATTCAAATCTCCAGAATTGTATTTCATAGCACTACATCTATAATAACACACTGCGTATTTACAGTACTTAGTGATTGCTAGGTCCCTTTTACACATGGTTTGTGCAGTAAAGAAAGCAGCATGCAGAGGTCTGTAGTTTTGAGCAATTGTAGTTTTTTTTATTCCTACAACTGTCTCATAGTGTTATTGGTAAGTGCCGGGTAAGGAGGAAAGGATGGACTCTGGGGAGCTTGACGCTATTCACTGTGAATCTATGTACTCTTGTAGTGTAGCAAAATAATTTTTGGAAATCGAAATACGCAACAGTCTCAACATGGAAGGAATCCCTATTTTCATTACTGATATGTTATCTCTGTGTTGGGAAAAGTCATATACTGTACTATCACTGATTGCGTTGCCATGTAAAAATTTGTTCTGGGAATCAGAATGACTGAATGTCACCTGTTCATCAGGGAACTGGGGTGAAAATTTAGTTTACCCACTAGGCATCACTTCTGCATTGTAAGGTGTTCATTGTAACTGCTCCTCTACTTGAAGCTGTAAAACCTGCTCTGCAGTTTCCCAACCTGTTTACAGCACAAACAGATCTAAATGATTATAAAATTGTATGCACTAATTGTTGCTGCCTCATGTCCAACCCAAAGGGACTTTTTGTTGCTTGGTGGGACATAGTAATAATTGTTCCAGTGTGTTGGGAAAATACCACAACCAGTATTTTATTTAAATGAACTTGCATGAAAGGGAAGTTGGGAAAGTAGCTGTGTCTACGTGGTGAGGTCCAGTCTCTTGCTTAGTTCTCACCACATAGCCATGGCTGTGCTGCTCCAGTTTCTCTTGTATACTCAAGCCACTGGAATAGGTTACTGAACCATAACATAACCCCTCACCCATAGCAGCCACAGAACAAAGCAAGCTGCTAAAATTGATGTTGGCGAGAGGAAATCTATTGCTCCTCTTGTGACAGAACTCTAGTGACATAGAAAGGATTGTTGTTTTAATGGCAAGCAGGGCAGGGAAAGAATGCTAGTGCCATGGTGATATAGTGACAAACCTTTACCCTGCTCTATTAGGAGACACCGAAAACCATTTCAGTTAACAGCATTCATTCTCTTTCTGCCAGGGAAGAGATCCACTTAGGGAGGATAAGAGGTCAAACCATAATGGGCTCCAGAAGTATAACACAACATTGTGGGAAAAAGAGAGTGGGCTTAGCAGTGTCCAGACACTTCAGCATTGACCACATCATAGAACTCTGGCTACTGAAATGCAGTGGAGCAGAAAGGATATCCAAAGAATGAAATTTGCATTAAAACATCTAGCACTAATTTTTACTACTCTGTTCAGCCTCAGATTAACCATTAATGTTTAGGGCTTCAACAAGGGAAGGGGGCACCACAGAGTTCCCCCCCCCCCAGTGCTAGAGTTACTATGGACTATGATACCAATGGTGTACCCTCCTTAACAAACCACATCCATCCATCCAAATCCCTCGGCTCCCTCCCTCAAGAGCCCTAAGAGAACCACCTCCCTACCTAAAGTAATTTGAGTATGGACCAGAGAAAACTAAAAGGTATAAAGACCCACCTAGCAAAAAACCTCATGCTTGGCTTTTTAAAAAACTTCTGTATTTTGGGAAGTTGGGTGGGGATAAGGATAAAAATAGCTGCTGGTCCTTTAGACCTATGAGAACTATGTTGTGAGCTGCCCAGACTAGACTATGTCTAGATGGGTGGCATATAAATGCAATAAATAAATAAATAAATAAATAAACTATATGTGCAAGCCAGAATTAACAGCCACTGTTAAAAATGCCCCGAAAGGGACTTTAAGCTTTTGTTTGAGCTTTTCAGTTTACAGATTCTGACAAAATCTGTTTACATTAAATGTGAAAGTGCAAGATTTGGCTACAAGCTGGTAATTTGATTATACATATGATTTTGCATATGAGATGTG